AAAAGTCTTAGATCTTATTATGTATATCATATGTATGGTTACGTTTCAAGATAAAAATTTTTGTAAATACAGTGTAAACTCTATATAACGACACTGAAGGGACCGTGCATTTTAGTGCGTTATAGAGAGTTGCCGTTAAATAGAGGGAAGAAAAATCAGAATTAGAAAAAGACAAAGTTTGTTTCCGACTACTGTTAGTACTTATGTACATAAAAAAGAATGTTATAAAGTCTGTTGTTTTTGTTTGACGTGTTTTGCTGCACCAGTAATGTTATTGTATTTTTTACGTATTTTATTCATATCTTGCGATATTGAGGCATATTGGTGAAGAACGAATTTCTTAGAAAGTTTGGTATGCATGATTACGACAGTGGAGTTTATTGCGGGCTAGGATAACAAAGCGACAAAAAAACGTACACAGCTGCGCATTTTTTACTAATTTTAGCAACTTAAAGGGTACTTTTTATTACTTAATTTTGTCGTTATTGAGAGTGGCTGTGACGCTATATAGAGTGTATCATTGTATGGTAGACAAGCTAAACCAACCAAAGTCAAATGATTTCGACGCTTTAGAGAGTTTGTCGTTAAATCGAGTGTCGTTATATGGAGTTTACACTGTATATGAAACTTGATATTTAGTCACGTATGAACTTTCAATTCAAACTTTTGTTTTATCAGTAATACTAGAGTTTATATCTTAACAGTCCTTATCAACATACCTGGAACAACATTTACAGGTGTTCAAGAATTCCAGGTGTATAAATCCAGAAGTTATAGTATAATATATGATACTATTATAATCTGGTTTATCAAATCATGGTCACTGTAGTGTCATTTAATGTTTGTGGTATAAGAAATAAATTATAGTTTCACTTGTCCATGTATGTGTGTATGTGGCGCCGGCGCCAGGCTGAGGGAAAATGAACGTGTGATCTGTTACTTGGTTTGATAGAATATAAATACATATACATATAAATATTACTGTATGTATTATATTCGTGATAAAGGGTCTTCTACTATATATAGTATGTATTTCAGAAGCCCCTATATTTTCGTCATTAATAGTATATTTATATTTTGTTATTATTAAGACTACAAAATATACGAAAAGGCCCTTTGCGCAAAAAAAGTGAAACATCCTATAGTTGTAATGAAAATACGAAGGGGGTAAAAATGGATATTTAAGAAATTTTTTGTGTTTCTTTAAATTAAACTTTATTAACATTAACGCATTCCCTTCCGCTCTGTCTCGTTTAATATCCCCCCCAAAGCGTTAAACGTTTAACGCAACCTAGTTGAAAGCCGCATACGAATTTTCACTTCAAATGACTTACGTATATATATTAAACCCTCTCAATATTCTTAAATTTTACTTAAACAACGTTTTACATATATATTTATTTCCTATACATATCCAACGCGTAATATAACATAATAATATAAGGAAACGCCGTCCTATCATTCAAACACTACGCGAATGTTATGGTATTAAACCATACATTACTTCACTTTCACTTCTCCATACATAATGCCATAGATCACTCGGGTTTTGTTCAGGGAAATTGTTCCCTTACGAGGAAACCAGGGGTTTATTATTATAGATAGTGAAATTGTTACTTTGGTGTATAGAACTTGTATGTTATGATGTATAATTTAAATTGTTATACTATACAATATTATATTTTTTATACATACATATATTTGGAAAGTTCGTTGTAAGTTGTTTAAAAATATATGAAATTTCAACATTGATCTTTATGAAAAATTATGTTTGAACTTAAATAGGCTTAATAATTTTCTTTTCCGTTGTTTTCTAAAGTTTAATATATATTCTGATATAGATAAAAGTTATTTGAAAAGGTCTTTCAATTAGAGAAAACATATATATTTTTATGCCATTAACATATACGAATAAAAGTAAACTATCTGAATTAATATAAGAGTGTCCATTTATTAAATACTAGCTTTCCGCCCGCAGCTTCGCCCGCGTGGCGTTCGGTTATATCGCGTTTCCAAGAGAACCTTACAAAAGTCTGGGATAAAAGTATCCTATGTTCTTTCTCAAGGTCAACTCTATCTCTTTACCAAATGTCATTTAAATCAGTTCAGTGGTTTAGGCGTGAAAGCGTAACAGACAGACAGACAGAGTTACTTTCGCATTTATAATATTAGTAAGGGATCTTTTACGTAAGGGGTTGATATGTAAGACTGGTCAATGAAGCAGAGCATCTCCAGAACACATTTATTAGGAGAAAGTTTATTCCGAGTCGTGGGAAGAATGAAACCTGTTAGTTAATACATATATGTATGATCGGGTTAGAGAGAAGTTTTTTACTCTTTTACGTATTTTTCATATTTTTTATGTATATAAAAATACAAGCATTGTGCTACACTTTGTGTTATTTTGAGAACAATATACATTTTTATAATCCCCACTTGTATGTTTGTTTCTATCTTATTAAAGTATGTATTTTATCTCTATTTTGCATTACTACTATTTTTTTATTACAATAAGGCCCAATTTTCTTTTATTTCTAACGAAAGATTGACGTAGATAGAACATTCCAATGTAATCGAATTCTAATTCTATGGAATGGTATCCAATAAATATATATTAAATTCATAATAATATATTTATTCAATGAATGACGGATCCTAGGTAATAAAATGATCTACCTGCATTATAATTGACATCATACTATTTAACAATATTAAGCAAGTATAACTAATACACAACATATATTTATTTAAAGAAATATCCTATGTATCCTGATGTTTGAGGTTGAAATCTTAATAGTATATAACATGTATGTCTGTCTGTATCCATTAATACTCTGACCGTAGATCCGTGATGAAGTATTCATGAATTGAAACTAACTTTTAACGATCCGAGTTGAGTATTACTAAAATACTTAACGGTAAATACGACAGTTAACGACGTTTAAATGTAGTGAGGTATGTAAAAAGTTAAGAACATAAAAAATAAATAAATTTAAGATAAAATAATATAAAAATTGATAGATAATTCAAATAAGATCGCGTTTTTGGTCTGTTTTTAATGTTTTTTAAAATAAGACTTGCTTGAAGTCTGTCCAATCTAAGTGTTGTAGGAATTTTTTGTCTCACGAAGTATTCGCGTAACAATTTTTTTCATAACCACGAGTTTGTCGTATTGATCTATTAGTGTGAAAACTAAAAGAAACTGAGAGTAATCAAGGTAAAAATATGTACGTAACAAAGTATCAGATAAAATAAGATCCGCATTTATATGTTGATTATATATGTAAATGATTTTTAATACCAAAAAGGGGAATCTAGTTCAATACATAGATCAAAACCTACCGCATACTACAACGTTTTAATAGTAGTCTTACATTCCTTTATAATTACATATTGTAGTATTAAAGAAACTTAATAAGTGAGAAACGAAAAACGCGTAGTATATAGTATGATGAAAAACATATGGTAAGCATAGTGACGAAAGACGTGCCACATTGAGAGGACGCAGTATTGAATAACTGTATGAATTTTATGATGGTATTTTAATGGGAAACTATGTGTGTGTTTGTGTGTCAATAATTACAAAACTATTTACACGATTCAGAAATTGACTTTTTTATAAACAGCTAGACAGATAGATAAAATTAAATATTAAATATATTAAAATATAAATTTTATTTTAAATAATCTTTCACAATAATAAACCGCGTAGTATATCCGAAAAATATTAGTTTTCTTTAAATGAAATATGGTTTTAAACATGAGAGTGGATGCGATTTAAAACTCTTCAAATTTATACTGATACTAGTTTTTGCCCGCGACTTCGTCCGCGTTAATTTCGTCATTAGTAATATAGGTATAGCTGACCGGGCAAATTCTATTTCGTCTTCAATAACCCGGTATTGGTATTTATTAAATTTCTACTGTTTCAGTCTAACAGAATGATTGACATATTAGTTAGTTGTCAAGTCTAATGTCAAAAAATCGTTTGTATGGGAAATGGAAAAGGGCTGTTTTTAGGGTTTTCCCGGTAATAATTCCAATTTTTCTCACCTTTTAAACCTTTCCTGGACTTCCAGGAATATTTCAAGACTACAATTAGCCAAATCAGTTCAGCCGTTCTCGAGTTTTAGCGAGACTAAGGAACAGCAATCCATTTTTATATATGTATATATAGAAGATTAGTGAGAATGACAATAAAGAAGAAATATTAAGTGAAAATTAACTAAATAAAATTATCTTTTAACGAGAACAGATAACGTGAGTTATTGGAATATATATCTCAATTTAACAAACACAAATGCGGGTATAATTAAATGTGTAACTATCAATACACATTAACGAGATACTATTGTTATAAATATAAAGATTAAACACACAGACGGAAAAATATATTACATATTGATTAACAATTTAAGTCAGTGGTGGCTTAGTGGTTAAAGGGCCACACTCTCACGGATGAGGGTTCAGGTTCAATCCTGGCCCTGGCTAGTACCAATGTGATTTTTCCGAATCATATGTACTTTCTGAGAGTATTTAGACATCACTAATCAATGCATTCCCAAAGAGGGTTGGTGTCAAGCAGGCGGCTGGTCGTAAAAACAATTAGCCAAAACTATTCACAACATGTAAGGCAGACCCTGGCTAAAGCTGGGAAAATTACCAGGTAGAAGAAGATATTGGTTAGCAATATAGAATGGTTAGTAGGGAACGAAAGATTATATGAAGATGAGAATACCAGTATGTGGAAAGAACTATCAGGGAAAGTGAAAAGCAAATGCTATAAAGATAAGGATTTTAATTCAAATAAATATAGTATATAGTTTTAAAAGTATTGTATCTATAGAAGAATTAAATTTTTATTTCCTTTTAATTATACTATGTAGAAAAATTTATCAGTGTACATACATATTGATGCTAATACGTCTTTTAGTTAAAAAAGCCCAATTTAATTTCAGTTGTTTGATATTTTGACTATACCATTTATTTCAAATTGCATTATGAGTAAGTATTTAAACACCACTGATAAGCGGTGAAGGAAACATAGTGAGGAAACTTCGACTTAGAGTATCAAATTATAGGTCTGAAATTGACTATCGGTCTTGAGCAAGCGTAGTGATGATTGCTCTAACCTTCTCCATGTGAGAAGCGGCCTTTTGGCTAAGCTGCGGACCCCGATAGGCTGATGATGATGATAATTATCAATGGTCTCTTGACAAAGGTCATATAAATATATATTTTATATTAAATATTCAGTACAATAATAGTTATAAGTATTGTTTAATAACATTTTAAAGCTGCAATTTGTTTGAGATAAAAAATATTGGAGGTTCATTAGTTTCTAAGCCAAAGTTTTGATCACAAAACGATAAAATAATTGAATTTTTATATGTTTTATGATAGATTTGGAAGTTGTTTAAAATTTTAATAGTATGGAAGTAGGTCAATGTCATCACCATTATAGAATATTGGTGGTTTTACGAGTATAATGACACCGGTAGGCTACTAGGATTTTTATTTAATAAAACTTACTCAACAAAAATTTAATCAGAAAAAATAATATTATAATAAAAAAATAACTTTTCCAAGTATAATATTTATATTATAAATATTAGTAAATATTTTTTCATACATTCTTATATATTTGCCATATACTCGTAATACGAATTCGTGCCAGTCGTGTGCTGTTTTTTTATTGCTTGCCTCGTGCCAGTGACCTATGACCTTTACAATGGATTTCTTCCGCTCAGCTCAGCTGGTCGAATTAGTGTGTCGTAATAACTAATATCTGGTACATTAATTATGATGACATAACAGTACATTCGAATTGAAATAATACATAAACATATGTATATATGTATGTACATATTGTTTTAATTAATTCATATATACATATACGAATTTCTGTAAGATTAGAACGCAACATTGAAACTATAACAAAAGCAATATGCAGTAAATGCGACTGCAAATGATCATGCCTTGAAAAAATTATGTGTGGTCATAAAATGAAATGCACATTTGTAAAACATGTGTGTGCAGACCTGTGTATGTGCGTGTGTGTGTGTGTGTGTCTGTGTGTGTGTGCTCGTAAAAAGCATAACGATGGAAAAAATCGAATATAAATGAAATGTTAGTGTTATTGAAGATGATATATGGATATAGACTTTTGATAAATAGAAAAATATTAATATTAACTACTGCTTACAGGATATTAAATGTTCATATTATTTTGTTATATTGAGTATTTAAAGAGAACTTCAATTAAAAATATATAGATACATATGTATAAATGAACTCTTTTTTCCTGTTTACTTCATAATTTAAAGATCGCTTTACCGTTTTATTCATCTTTATTCATTTATTTGTTTGTAATACATATACATACATACATAACATATTACGATATTATTAAATTGAAAAGTGTAACAAAAAAAAATTGTATGTACATACTGCCTTAATCATATAAACGTACTCTTTTAAGAACTTCTGAAATGTTAGAACAAACTAACACTCCTGTTATATTTTACTGTTATTTTACCTAAATAATTTTTTTACGATAATGTTGACATAATTAAAAGTCAATTAGAATATAAGTCAATTAAATATATAACTCTCAATAAAATAACGAGTTCAAATTTACTTATTGTCCCAATATAATGTCTAATTTTATATTGCGACAATAATAAAGAAAACTTGTAATTATTCATACTATTGACATAAATTTCATTCTCTAACATTATTATAAACTTAAAGATGTTTTATTACGCGAACTTAATATTTTTCCACGCCTGTCACTGACACTATATACTATATACAATTCTACGGCTTTGCGTCACTTTGTATTTATTTCATCGGAATGATAAATCTTTTTGTCAGCTTGACATAATTCCGATACCATCAAATGTTTGCCATCATTTTGATTTGTATACTTTCTATACAGACTTCTATATTGAGGTATGTTTACTGTTTCTTCCGTATATATATCTTATATACTATATTTATTGTGATATTCGTTTCAAGAAAAATAATACTTGTGAAGTAAATGATTTTACGTATACTGTGTACATAAAATAAGAACGTATAATTTATATGAATATATTTTTTGATTTGTTTAGTAAGATAGGTTTACGTATCAAAAATAGCTTTTATAGTAGCAAAACAATAATTATTTTCCTTTCATTAAATCTAAAATAAAACGTTGATTTAATTCATTGAAGTAACATTCGTTTTCCGACCAACATAATAAAATTTTATTTCAATGTAAGCGTTATTTTTGATGTATTAAATCGTCTATATATGCTAATTCCTCTAACATATATTTTTTGTTTTACAGGTAGCACAACAGATCTAACTCCTACCCTCATCGGTATTTATGACTCTCTCCTGGAACCGACGAAGAGTCTCCGTCCCGGGACAACTTGCCCAGAAACAGCTAAAGATGCACGAAACGACCCACCGCTCAGAGAAAATATTATGACAGAGAAAAAGGACAAAATGGTAGCCAGCCCACAGAAAGATCCAGCCAAACTAGCTGGCAGCGTTAAACTACCTATAGCGACGGTCAACAAGAGTTCGCTGTACACATTACGAACTAATAATAATGGAGCTGAGAAAAACGATGATAAAGAAGTACAAACAGTCAAAGAAACGAAACAGGAGACATCAATACTCTCCCCGAACGTCAAACGAATGATCTCCAGTGCCTCTGAAACATCCACACTCAAGTTCCAAAAGAAAACCATTTCAGTAGGAAGATCATCTACAAGACGATGTAACATACCATTAGTAGGCGCGACTTCCAAAATATCGCAGTCTGGTGTCGATATATTACCTTCAATGGAAATATATGAACAGCCAATCGGTCTGAAACCAGTCCATCATGAATCACCAGCGAAGACGATACAAATTAAACCCGAATTCAAGATCGATGAAGAACAAACGACTTACGACGTCCCAACAAATAATAGACCAGCCATCTATGACGTGCCCAACCCAAAGACAGCCTTCGAATCGCTATCACTGCCTTACATCGACCAATCAATAGAGCTATCAATATCCTCGAACGATAGAGAATTCGACACGAAACTATCATCGAAGGACAACTCTCCAATGAAACCAGAACCGAAAACATCAACTCCTGAATCATCACCAGCGAAAATACCCAAAACTTTAAGCGGGACAAACAGTTTACATAGAAAAGATTTCGTACCAAAAACCAGTTCACCGAAGCTCACGAAAACTGGTTATCCTGAAACTATAGTATCGACTGGCAATCTTAAAATGATCCATGAGAAGGATTCAATTAGGTTGAATCCTCCCATAGAAGTAACGAGACCTCTATCAATGAGCTCAATAGCGTCTTCTAGTTCAACCTCAAGCAGTGGCGTTCAGAACAAAGGTGGAGTGAACTCAGCCTATCTAGCGTCCATAGAGAGTCTCGATGATCATAGCGATGCTGACACATCAAGAAATGGAAGCAGCAATTTCATGAACAACGCTGGCGTACTAAAAAACGCTGCCTCAGAAGAAACTCGCACGGAACTACCTAGTAAGTGGATAGTTTTTATGTATTCAACAGAAATACTAGGACATTTAGGACAGTAGACATCTGATAGGAGATTTTTCGATAATTTGTTTTTTTACTGCTCGTTTGTAGAAAAGAAAAAAAGTTGATCTTTTCTAGAATAACACGGTAATTACAAAATATGTCTTAAAAATCGTTAAAAAAATTTAAATGAAACTAATATTTTTGGATTATTATACGACGAAATTTTAGCCCGTGATCACGGTTGCTACGAAGTAACTGAATTATCGGGAGTATGTAGTTATAAAATAACAAAATATACGTAGTAATCCGAATAATATTAGTTTCATTTAAATGAATACTCACAAAAGTTTTAGATTTCATTAATCTTAATACATATTATTATTTTTGATTGTTCCTTAACAAAATATAAAATTTTCCTCATACTACAGGAAATATATGAAGTTTTTTTATGTTTTATTTGAATCAATTACTTGTATAGGGCAGAATACATTCGAGGAAATGTCGGGTCTATCACAACTGGAACGAGTCTGTGCCGAGATCGTCACGACTGAGAATGTCTACGTAGAAGATCTGAGGCAAGTCGTTGAGGTAAGATAAAGATATTATAAGATAAATAAAGATAAGTAAAGATAAGTCATTAATACATACATTCATTTGCAATTTGTTATAATATATGCATACTATACTTTAATACATATAAATTCCTATATGTATAGCTTGACTAATATCATTCAACTGTTTGGAGTTAGTGAGTTATAAAATGTATGTTATCATACATGTAGGTACATTAATGCGTTCAATAATATGTACATAAATCTATTTCATGCTAATTGAAAATCTGATTTATTTTGAATTTATTCTTCTTTTAATATAAATACTTTTGATATAAAATTTATATACTTACAATTAATTATTTTCATTGACGCTCTTGAAGAATGTATGTAGATTTTTTTTTTGTCATACTATATTCGAAATTACGTTAATTTTATTTAGCTCACCAAAATTTTAATTACGTAAAAAATTATGTAAAAAAATAATTAGATAAAAATCGTGATATAAGTGCATTTTAATCGTCACAATATATACGTACATATATATAAACATATTTCTTGAACATAATATCAATGGGTTCAGAACGATTTGCGATTGAATTAGAGCGGGGACGAAATATCAAAGCGTTTTCAAAGCTAACTGTCAGTTAAAACTTAACATGTTAGAGTAATTATTGACGATGAAAGACAAACGCTACATTAAGAATTGGATTCACTATAGTTTGAGGATACGGATATTGTGAAATAATACATTAAAATAAACGTGGCTCTTAATAGAATATACTAATTAGAAGATTTTGACTCGTATTTTAGAGATTGGAGAATTATCAATTATTTTCTTATTACGCTATGGCTTCATTCACACCAATTATAGAATTTGCCAATATCAATATTGTTGAATATTAAAGCGTTTGTTAATAAGACGTTTAATTGCATCGACCTGAAAACAAATTAATGTTTACCTTGGCTTGTGGGCTTTATAACTCTGATATAAACGACCAATGTACTTTAAATGAAACTAATATTTTCGGATTACTACGTGTTCTTTATTATATTAAACTACATACTCTCGACGTTTCGGTTACTTTGCAGCAACCGTGATTACGAACAGACGAGATGTCTGTAATCCTCAAAATATTAGTTTCATTTAAATGAATACTCGCGAAAGTTTTAGATCTCATTATGTGTACCAATGTTATATTGACCTGCTTATATATTGAAGCAATCATTACGTGATTTTCCACGATGAATCCTGAATCGATTTTGATGATATTTATTTTGGCTATAGACAAAATATCGGATATCTTTTAGCTCGGTAACATTGGTAATTAAAGGTATAATTCGTGTAGGTACATGCATAACCTAGTTTCAGATAAGTAGGTTAAAACAGGTCTCTTAGCAACGAATTGAACAACAGAATTACGTAAATTCAGTTTGTAATAATATCTTTTTAAATCTTTATTCTCGGGATTTTCCGTTTAATTTGTATGCGTCGAATTTGTAGTAATTATTAATAATGATACATTAATTTTTCACTCAGTCTTATTTATAAGAATAAATTGGAAATAGATAAAATCAAAGTAATAAGGATATTCAAACATCAAAGTTAATTTAAACATATACACACACACACAAATATATTTGTATGAGTAAATTTATAGTACATAGTTAAATGATCCAAATTAAACATATTATTGTGACTTTTAAGATAATTTAACGAAATATTCTCCTTCAATCTCGATTAGTATCCTTAGAACAAGTTTTACGTAGTTTAACTTTATACTCTACGTTTTCAGTTTTTCATAATTTAATAAGTTTAAATACCATCATGTGCTTATGATGTCATAAATGTATATATATATATATATATATATATATATATATATATACAAAACTTGTGTACTTTTAGAATATACTAAAGAATTTAATATATTATTTGAAACGTACATATACACATATATTAAAAATAAATAATTTAAACTCCTATATATAATACCAGTTCCAACATACATACAACTTTACCGTTATAATGTATATATAAATAATTTCTACAGACGATGTCTGTGCATAGATAATTTCGGTTCATCAATAATGTTGATACTGCAAAAATAAACTGTTCCTAGCTATTATAGAGAGCTTGATTAATCACCATGGACAACCATTATAAGCTGACCTGTCTCTACATTATACTTGCAAGTTATTAAAGCTCCAAATACATTGGTTATTCCTTATAAGCATAAATGTTAAACGAAACTCGACTTTAATATAAAGAAAATACGATCGATTATTTTTTTGTATACACTAACGGTATAACCACAGCCTAAAAAGGTTAGATGCTTGCTGTGTTAGCAAGTTTTTACAATGTATGTATTAGGTATAGACTGTGCCATGTAGGGTGGAAGGGCCGTCATTATCCCGGATTTCAATATAAGGGATACAACGGGATTTAAATTAATATGAAAATAACTATTCGAGCGACGTACTTAGTAAAACACATAGTAAATATATATAGTGCTAATAACGTTTGATAATACTAGCTATCACCCGCGTCTTCGTCCGCGTAAAAGTACAAACACAAAATATAGTGAGAAAACTTTTAAGAGCCACATTGCGCCCATCTCCCACTCAAGCGGGATAACGTTTAATGTCGTTATTGAGATAAAAAGTAGTCCAAGTTACTCCCTATTATATTAGCTACCTGCCAGTAAACGTCTTGTCAAAATCGGTACAGCCGTTTCAGAGATTGTTCGGAACAAACAGACAGACAAAAATTGAAAAAAAAATGTTGTTTTGGTGTATGTACCGTATATATCATATGCATGTAGTAAAAATGGGTTATTTCAGTATTACAAACAAACACTGTAATTTTATTTATTTGTATATATGAACATACTATAATTATTCTTTACTTAAACTCCGAGTGTCTTACAAATAAAACTGATAAGATTTTATTGTATCTTTATCAGACCTGTATGCTTAGTCCTAGTTTCTATCGTCACACTACATACTACTCGTTTCGCGTTTCTCATTCAATAAACTACATTAATACTAGTAAAACTCTATGATTCTCTCTGGCTTCGTATCAAATGTAGTCGAAACTAAATTGTACTAAAAAAGTTAGTTTGAAAATTAATTACAAGTTAGTTTATATCAACTACAAACATATATATATTTCTACATAAGTGTGAGCCCATTAATTTAATATACGCAGCAACAAACATTATATTTAAACTTCCTTAACTTTTATTAAACTCAGCGTGGGTTATTCGTCTGTATTCCCAAAATAAAGAAGACTCTGAGATAAAAATAAAGTACCAAGAATTCATATATTGATAGCTTTTACACATCTTTGGTACATTTATCTTTTAAGATATGTATAAAGAAGATGTTTAATATACAATTGTTTTCTTTTATCTTTATCTTTAGAATACGTAAGAGTACGTACATCCCTACTAATATTATAAATGCGAAAGTAACTCTGTCTATCTGTTACTTTTTCACGCCTAAACTACTGAACTGATTTGAATGAAATTTTGTATAGAGATAGAGTTGACTTTGAGAAAGAACATAGGATAGTTTTTATCTCAGACTTTTGAAAGGTTCTCTTGGAAACGCGATATAACCGAACTCCACGCGGGCGAAGCTGCGGCCGGAAAGCTAGTAATATACATATATATCACCTGTCTTATAAGTTGGTCTTATTAAAATAGCTCGATGTTAAATTTAACCCACGCGATCATTGTAAGTGTGGTTGGTGGGCAGCTTACTCTTGATGCTACCATCGATGGTACATCAAATTATTTACCTACACACACATACACACGTATACATTTTATGTATCGGAAGATCCCACAGAGAGTATGCGTTTCTTTTTATATACATATATATACTAGAAGACCCGGCGAACTTTGTATCGCCCTATAATCAAGAAATATCTGTTACGTTTTCTCATTTATATTTTTGGAGTTTACCTATTAAAGCCATATATCTCCGTGTTTTGAAGTGCAAAAGTATGATTGACATATTAGTTAGTTGTCAAATCTAATGTAAAAAAACGTTTGTATTAACAACTACTAATAAATTAAAAATTAATTAAAAAAACATTGTCCAGCGGACAAAATTGTGAATCTTAACCATTCCCAGATCCCCTTGAATACCTACACACAAAAAATATATCAAAATCGGTCCAGTCGTTTGAGAGAAGTTCAGTGACATACACACTCACAGAAGAATTATATATATAAAGATATATATTATGATGAATAATTATGGCTTTTAATCTATTCTACTATAAAGATTATTGAGAGCAAATATTTAATATGACAATATTATTATTATAGCTATATAACACTTTTATTTAAAAAACACATTACTTATACAAGATTTTCTAGTTATTTTTGACAATTGTAACTATAGAAGTAATTTAAACTTATTACAATTATTGTTGTAGCACCTTGAAATTAATTATTGTTTATATGTATTTCAAAGGAGAGAGAGAAATGTTTACTTTTTATAACAAAAATATTTATGTCTATAAAAAGTAAAGTTTTTGAGTTTTAAAACATTCTTTGTGATAGTATGGAAACTTTTTTATTATATTATGACATACTAAATTATTTGTTTGTTTTGTATAACTATAGAACGAAAACTATTAATATTTCATGATACCGATAAGATTAAGAATATCGTATAGTTGAATTAAATCCACGGACGGCCCCGCGTGTATAACTTAGTATAGCTAGTAGTAACATGATATGAGTAATCCATAATGTAGACAAACATACACACAATAGGTTTTACATACATTAAACTCACCCGGAAATTCTTGTAATATTTACTGTTTCAAACAATAAAACTCTATAAAGTATGATTTATATCTTTTTCTTCTTCTACCTGGCAATTTAGGCCGCCTGCCAGACATCAACCCTCTTTGGGAATGCATTAATTAATGATGTCTATATACTCTTAGAAAGTACATATGACTCGGAAATTTCACATTGGTACTTGTCAGGATTGAACCCGCGCCCTCGTGCATGAGAAACGGGCCTTTTAACCACTAGGCCACCACTGACTAAAATATTCATTATAATTATGTATGTGAAACAAAAATGAGATTTTGTTTTCAAGTATTCAAGTAAAACTTTTGATTTCGATCTTCAATTTCGATTGAATTTCTACAGAGATTTCATCTTAATCTATGTACCTTATCTAGAATCTTAGTGTACTCGACCCACGATAATCGGACAAAACAATTTGTAGGGCGGTGCTTTGACTAACGAATTTATCGGATAGATACAGTACTGGGTAAATCTCTTATAGAAAAGATTTCTTTATAAGACTTCCTTATAATACGATATATATATATTTATGTGTGTGTCTGTGTGTGTGTGTGTGTGTGTGTGTGTGTGTGTGTGTGTGTGTGTGTGTGTGTGTGTGTGAGTGTGTGTATTGTAAAATACTTATCACACACCTAGTCAAAATCATACTAAGTGAATAAAACTAATATTTTAGGATTTATTAGGCGTTTTATTTAATTATTATAAAATACACAATCCCGAAGTTTCGGTTTCTTTGTAGCTATAGTATTCACGTGCAGACGAAATGAATTATTTTAATGAATATTCGCGAAAGTCTTAAATCACAAAATAAGTATTCAAATTTAAGACAATAATACCTTACGCGATGCGTAAAACTTATAACTCTTGTTGAAGTACTACCGAAGGTATAAAAAAATCAATAATAATTATGTAAGGACTATATAAATTACATTTTTTTATATATGTTACGTATTATTTTAATTATAACCACAATAAGTTTAACTTAAAATACAGTGATTGATTGTTGAAATTGATAAAATCTTATCTACATATATACTAAAACCTTAAATAAATTTAGAATTTTTCTCACAAGGGAATCATTTATGAGAAATTTACTGACTGACTTAACATTCAAACATACATCAAATAACAATGAAACATGAGTATATTAAAAAGTTATTTGTTTACAAGCCAAATGTTATACAAAACATTATTCTGTAGTGGTCATTGTGAACAAATGCCACAATGTCCATTATGGCCATATGGACACAATGGCCACTCCGGTCAAACCGGTTGTCACTGTCACAACCTCGTGTCCTTCATGGCACACAACGCCACTTGATATTTTTCAATTGTTCATTAAAATATTCTTAAACATTACCACCTTTTGTATTCGGTGTCGGCTAAAATTTATCCTTGATTTATACTATACTTTCACGATAAATTTTATAAAAATCGGTTCAGACATTAACATGATACCTATATTTATGTATAAGGGACAGATATAATAAATTTGATTGGTACATGGTTCATACATATAAATTACATTTTATTGTTAATTTTTATTATGTATCTTTATAAAACATAGAAAATTTCGAAATCGGTTCAGACATTAACATGATACCTATATTATATAAGGGATAGATATAATAAATTTGTTTGGAACATTTTTCATACATAATATAAATTACATTTTATTGTTAATTTTTATTATGTATCTTTGTAATACATAGATAATTTCTTTTGATCATTATTTACTGTCCCTTGACCTCCTTGAAATCCTTATTTGAGAGATATTTTGAAGAGCTTAAAATAATAATAATGTATATAAAATCTTATATCTAATAATAAAATTATCTCCATTAGAATTATAATGAAAATTACGTAAAAAAACAACAAATGACTAACTTCCTTATACATAACATATATTCTTACTTGTTCTATATAGTATAATATATATTTATATGAAAAAAACAATGTTTCCAGGGTTACTTACACGTGTGGCGAAGAGACTCCACCTTCTCAGAGGAACAGCTATCAGAACTCTTCAACAATATAGAAGATATATACGCCTTTAACAAGTGAGTTACAAATATATAATAAATTACAAAATTATTTATTCATTTATTTGTCAAATAAATATACTATATGTATAGACTAAGTTATTTATTCAAGAATATTAATTCCAATTACTATTGATATATTAGTTTATGTATTAAAAAATATACGTATATATGTTGAAATATATAAATATATATAGTAATTAAATTAAAGCAATACATATATAATAATAATGATTGTGAAGTGAAAGTATTCTGGTATGTCGAGGAAATATTCTTTTATTTTTATTTCGGGACTTATTGTAGTTTATGTTCTGAACAGGGCCGGACTTGAAGCGAATTATAATAATATTACATTATTATTAATTTTTTTTAAATTAATATCAATAAACATAAAATAATACTATAATATCTGTAGTTTCCGATGTTTGTTTGTACATGAATAGAATTATTTAAGATAAAAAAATATATAATAGTATAATCGAATTCATCCCTTGTTTGTGAGGGTGTAAACATTAAGGGAGGGTTCTACGATAAAACGACCCCTCTATAACATTTATTAAAGAAATTTGCTTGCGACGTACGTCCCTATATTTGGGGGTTTACACTTATAAGGATAGCTTGAATAAAAAGAATTATACATAGATAGATTTATATTAAAATCAATGCTTTATTATGTCTCTTAGTAATTTAATATATATCGGATTTATTACACATTCGTTGTTTTTAAAGAGAGAGACGACCCTCGCTGACGTAACTAATGTAACTTCTTTCAGTACGTTCCATGATATTTTTAAATGAAACTTCAATTGTTCTAAATTCCCTTGTATTTCTCGAAGGTTTTTCATAATCCCATTATTCAATGGTCCGCACTCACTGAACTCTGTCGTGGTGCGTCCAGACGTCATATTTATACCAAGATTCAAACATAGTTCTATTCTCCTTTTAAACAATCTTTGATTTCGATTTACTTTTAACAATAATCATGAATACTAATGAGGTTTAATAAGAATTAATGATAGGCTCAAATTATTTTCATGTCGCATCCGTTGTTAAAGCTGATACCGCCGATATATATAATATTTTATTAATCATATAACTTCGTATAACCTGATTATCTTATATAATTTCTCAAGCTTCAATCTTTGAGTTTCAACCTGGGCTTGTTTGAAGGCTAAAGAAAATACGTGTAAAGTCACGTTTAGTCGTAAAACATAACAATGAGACGTTCCAGGTCAATGTTGACGTAAAATACAAGTCACAGCTTCCACTGTATTAAATAAGAAACCGAATATATATGTATATATATTATATATAGTAAACAGTACAATGAAACATTAAACATATGACTATATGTAATAGTAATTGATATACAGGGTGACTGGTGAATTACTATCGATACTTGAGGACGTGATATTTGACGATCATATATGACAAAATAAAAATTAATATAACATAAATATTAATAAACTTCTAAGTAAAGTTAACCAAAAGTTATGTAATTAATTACGCATCGTGTGAACACCCTACAGATTAGGTATACACACACGCACACACACACACATACGCGTGCGGCGGCGTGGTGTTGTATCAACACGTCGCCGCACGCGTCCACACTTGGGACACTTGGATCGTGTCCACACTTTATTTATTTATACGAAAATTTGGCCAAAAATTAAGTACCTATTTTTTTTACATAATTCGAATAAGAATCATGTACCGAGTATTCTCCTTAAATATTGATAGTAATTCACCAGTCACCCTATATTTTTCTCGTCAAAAACTGTTGCCAGGAGTGTTATACATTTCCAACATATATTCTACTTTAAACAATGTTTTTTTTTTAATTCTGTTATGTTATTGGAGTATCGTTTTAACTACATTTAATACAAAAACAGTTATTTTTAATGAACATGATGCTTTATTTAAAGTTAGCCGTCTTATAACGTTAGTTTTATCTACAGGATAAAATCCAAAAATATGTATAAAGGTTTTATTTTTTCAAATATTTAATACAAATCTTCTTGCTGTGCCAAATGGTATTACAAAATTTTACTAGAGAAAAATCCATATCAGCATTACATGGTACTTCTTCTGGCAAATTCCCAGCTTTTAACCAGGGTCTGCATTAGTACTATAATATAATTTATATGTATATATCAATAAAATCATAATTAATTAATTCCAGATCATTATGCAGCGAATTAAACTCTTGTAAGCTAGACGCTACATGTATAGCGCGGTGTTTCGTAAATAATACAAGCGGTTTTTCCGTATATACGTCATATTGTACCGGATATCCGGTCACTATGGAGAGGCTCGCTGAACTAGCGAGGACAGAGAGTGCAAGAGAATTCAGGGAGAGACAGATTGTTTTACAGCATCCCTTACCACTCGCGTCATACTTACTGAAACCTGTACAGAGGATATTGAAGTACCACTTATTGTTACAGGTAATTAGATGTAAGATTTTCGCGAGTTTTGATCGTTTAAATGAAACTAATATTTTTCGGATAAAATAATAAAAAACCATGTAGTAATCCGAAAAATATTAGTATCATTTAAATAACTATATGTGTATTCATTTTAATGAAACTAATATTTTGCGGATTTTTGACAAAAAACTGCATATATCCGAGGTTTGGTCACTTTTCAGTAATTGTAATCATTAAGATGAGATCTTTATCAAAAATGAAGCCGCGAGTATATTCGAAATATTAGTTTCATTTAAATGAATGTATACTTATTTAAATGATTTGAATAAATTTCAGAATACTACGTGTTGTTTTTTATTATTTTAATTACATACTCCCGAAGTTTTGGTTACTTTGTAACAACTGTGGTCATTAAGACGAGATGTAAATGTACGAAAATATTAGTTGTTTCAATCTCATTAAACATTTATTTGCCTATGTTTGATGCCTTTTTTAGGTGTAATTTTGACACATACCTTCTTTTAAGGTAATTCAATGATTTAGAGAAAAATAATCCAAAAAACTTTAGTTCTATAATAAAACTTTTCTTAAGATTTCCCTATAAAATTATCCATACAATGTATATACAATTGTTTAACAGAACGTGGTGAAGCAATGCTCTTCTAAAGAGACGGAATACGCTTTATTAAAGATGACTGGAATTGCGCAACATATTGATGACATGAAGAGACGACATGAACACGCGGTTAGAGTACAGGTAAGGGTTTGACCCTGATCTATAAGTGACCTAAATCCTGAGGATTTAGGTCACTTATAGATGACCCATGAGATATGAGCAATTTGTAAGGTCTTGAGGATCTTTTTGGTCAATTCACAAATATATGGAAACCCATAAGATATATATACGCTTCCTTGCGAAATTAACATCCCAAAAAACCATCAAGGTCAAAAAGTATTATGAACTCACTAAGATTAAGTTTGTTGTTAATTTGTACGCGATAGAAGTAAGATCGAGAGGTATACGTCTAAATCTCTCTATAACCTACTGAAAGATTTAGACCTGTCCAGAACTAACATTAATTCATTCTAACATACATCGAAGACAGTCCTAGTAGGTTCTTTTCAAATTAGGTAGAGAGAGGAGCTTGGACAGTGGAGGTGAGCGTTTAACGCGTTATATAGATTCCCTTAAACCTACACCTGGGTCACAAGTCCCAGTCACTGTTGAAGCTCCTCTCACTACAACGATGGACCCGACACATGCACGGTGAATACATTGAATGATGAGCATTTTCTTCTCTATGAGTTTTTCATAATATCTCAGAGATCTTAACAATTTTGTATGACTCATACTTTTCAATACAAAGAATTTGATTTTCCTAGACACTTTCCCGTTAAGGTCACAATTACTTATACAGTGGGTACTCTTTAAATTGTTGTATAACAAGTTTTTTGTTTATACTAATTCAGAAGTAGCTAATGATTGAGTTAAATATATTAATCTGAAATTTTATACTTGGACATACTTTTTTGGGACACCAAAATCTTTATATAATCCATTGACCAAAAAAGTTATATACTAGAATTTAAGTATATAACTTAACTTCCGTGTTATATAATGAAATCTTTACTTCTATGTTTATACTAAGTTAATTTATCTTTTCTAATATGATCTTTTATCTTTTATCTTTAAAGGAAATCCAGTCGTTACTGTACGGGTGGAACGGACCTGACCTAACGACATACGGAGAGTTGTGTGCTGAAGGGACTTTTAGGTAATAAACATTCATAATATTAAAAGGAAAAATCCCTACGAATATTATAAATGCGATAGTAACTCTGTCTGTCTGTCTGTTACGCTTTCACGCCTAAACCACTGAACAGATGTTAATGAAATTTGGTACAGACATAGAGTTGACCTTGAGAAAGAACATAGGATAGTTTTTATCCCAGACTTTTGGAAGGTTCTCTTGGAAACGCGATATAACCGAACTACACGCGGGCGAAGCTGCGGGTGGAAAGCTAGTATATAATAACTTCATATATACAGTAAATCTTATTTAACGTCTTATCTTTGTTTCTGATGGACCGAAGACCTCATAACACTTTTCAATCCATGACTTTGCTTTAACGCTATTTTTGCCCTCAAGAAGTAGTGCTCAATTGAAACAAGAAATAGTTTTGAAAATAACAAAAGTAGCATCACTCTTAGCACAATAACTCACAAATTAATGCATAGAATATCATGAATATTATTTTCTATCTTTTATTAACTAAAAAGGTGACTGCAATATAACTAGCGCTATCTATGTGTTAAACCCGGGACTTTTCAGTCCATGTAATATATTATACATTCTATAATTCCTAAGAATTCTACTATTAACTAAAGGATTTTCAAAAATTTTTTTTTCGTTACTCGTACAAGAAACAAATATGTAGTCACTATCGATTTGTGTGAAATTATATAGTAATAAAAGCTACTGAATATAAAAGAAAAACCTGTTATAATTTTATTTTTCTGTGTATTTAATTCTAATTTGTTTTATTATACAGAGTTTTCGGCGCGAAGGCTATGAGACACGCCTTCCTCTTCGACAAGATGCTTCTGGTGACGAAGAACAGGGAAGACGGGATACTGGCTTACAAGTCACATATTATGGTGAGAAACACACACACACATACACACACATACATATATACACATGCATACACACACATGCGTATATATAATTGAAAGAATGGTTGCTAGCAAAGTCGTACGATGAAACTGAAAAACTGCTTGAAGTCTTAGCTTCCTAGTAACCACACACACACACACACACACATACACACGTGCTCACACACACACACACACACAAACATCTCAATTAAACTCATGCTCAATTTTACACATACCACTAATTCTATTTTATAATACATAATATATTGTGTTGACTTTTTCGCTATTCCACTTAGTAAACTTGGTAAAATGAATCCTTTGCAATAGGAGTACTGTCGCCTGAAATACAGGTTTATACCTAGCTCAGGGATAGTAGATTTTATTTACATAAATACCTTTTACCTTTATGCATTGTGATCAGATTATGTTAAAGTCTATACAATTGTAATGTGTTTAAGAAAATTAACATTATTATTATTTATATGACACGTATTTACTTGATGGTAGACAGATAATGTAACATCTATAACACTATTTTAGTTAACCTAAGTTGAAAATACATATATTTGAATGTTACTTAAAATTGTATAATTATTTAAATATATAAGCAGCGTACTTATGTACTATTCTCTCTTATATAGGGATAAGACCACCTACCTTTTCGCTGCACAATTTCCCCAAATCGAAGGTTCTACAGAAATCGCTACTTAGCGATAAGACCGCGTTTGTGTACATTTCAATTTATTTATTTTTTTCCTTGTAAAATTTACTGTTTGTGTACAATAAAGTATATTCTATCTATATTCTATCTCTCTCTTATAATATATTTTTGTTTTCAGTGTAACAACATGATGTTAGTGGAATCTATAGCGGGTGCTCCGCTTTCGTTCCACGTCATACCGTGGGACGCGCCGCGGTCTCAGCTGACCTTACAAGCAAGATCGGCGAGACACAAACGAGAATGGACTTTATTATTGAAGAGAGTTAGTATATATTACAATAACTATAACACTAGCTTTCCGCCCGCAGCTTCACCCGCGTGGAGTTCGGTTATATCGCATTTCCAAGAGAACCTTTCAAAAGTCTGGGATAGAAACTATCCGATGTTCTTTATCAAGGTCAACTCTATCTCTGTACCAAATTTCATTAAAATCAGTTAGTTCAGTTGTTTAGGCGTGAAAGCGTAACAGACAGACGGACAGAGTTACTTTCGCATTTATAATATTAGTAGCTATTTATTTTTAATCATTTTATATATTATAATTATTCAAACAAAACATCGTGAGGAATCCTGGAGTAATTTCCAATTATAAGTTTGAAATCACCAACCCGTCTTGAGCAAGCGTGGTGATGCTCTAACCTTCTCCATGTGAGAAAGAGGCCTTAGCTCTGATAGCTGTTGATGATAAATCAAAATAAGTTTCAAACAATACATATGTATAATTTAAATTTTCTTTAAGGTATCGTTTTATCTTCAATTTAATCTCAAAATAATTGAAAGTCAAATTCGTTATAGTATAATATTATAAATTTCTTTATTATTACTAATATAATATAAATTTCAGGTCATTTTGGAGAACTACAACGCTGTGATACCGTCGCACGCGAGACAGTTAGTGATGGAACTGGGACAGAATAAAACTGACGGTAGATATATAAAATATGTATTTTAGTACAGAGAACTATATATATACGCGTTGTTTTCCCATAAAAAATAGGGGTTGGTGATAAAAAACTAAAAATTTTGGGTTGTATGTATTTTTTAATGACACATTAAAAGAAATTAAAAGAAAGAATTAAGGGTGAACAACCCTTATCACTTAGGTATGAAAAATAGATGTTGGCCGATCAATATGCTGACAAAATTTCATGAGAATCGGTCAAGCTTTTTCTGAGGAGTACAGGAACGAACATTGTGATACAAGAATTTTATATATAACATAATTAAACTATCCATTAATAATTAAAGTTAATAAGTTATTTAGTTACAATAACTATGATAAATAGTAATATAATTCATTTGTTTCTAGATGACATACTAGCTGAGAAATCACACAATCTCATCACTCAAGCTTCAATGAGGAAACAATTATCCGCACCCGAATATTTAGAGAAACGAAAAATAGAAAGAGAACGAAGAAAATCATTTGAGAATGGAGTTAGAGGAAGATTTAAGAAGAATAGGAAATATAATACAATAAGACATACAAGAGATTGTGATTGTATTCAATACTCTATTGATAAAGGAATTGATTATACATGCGACAACTGTTATATAGATTTATGTTCTGATTGTGAAGCTGATTTAAATAAATGTAGCTGTAAAGATGAAGTACGTGATAAATGTATTGAATGCGAAAGAATTAATATAGAAAGAGGTAGTTCTGATAGGATAGAAAGAAAAGTATGCAAATGTATAGACTTTAAATCATCACAGGAGAGCTTCACTAAAGAATTCGGTTCATCTTTGAATAAAACAAGAGGTTATCACTCATCTGATAATATTATTAATTACACTGATAATAAAGAAGAAATTATTGAAGCTAATAGTACGATAGCCGCTAAAGCTATAACAAAAACATGCTTGAAATGCTCTAAGATAAAAGAAAATATACCAGTGACTGATACGTTTGTATTGAACAGACGGAAGTCAAGATGCAATGAAATAGATAAATATAGACCGGATACACTTAGGTCTAAGTCAAAAGACGATCCACAAAGATCTAAACTATCGAAAATAGGCACTTGGAGACGGAAATCAGAACCAGGGTTGCAAAATACTATCATTATAACGAAGAAAACGCAAGACAGTGATACAGAAAGAATTGATTGTAAGGGAGGAGAGAAAATTGAGTTCGAATGTAGGAACTGTGGAGCTAATAAGATATCAAGGAAAATACGTAATGAAGGCATCATATCTGACCCGGAACTAGATAATAGAAAACGACCTCCGAGTACAATCAAACATAACATAGAAATAAAAATGTATAACACTAAACATATACCAAAGAAGATCTCCAAGATTAAGAAAAACAGAGCGAAAGGATTACGAATTGGTTCTGATACAACCACTAGATTCTATACAGACTTCTCAACAGATGTCTCTACAGAGAATATATTACATATAACAGAATCAAACGAGAGTCTACACGCTGAGAAACCAATTTTACCGGAAACTATAAGTAAAGACGAAGATATTGATGAAGAGACGTACAAAAAACTTATAGAAAAAACAGATTCTTTCAAAAAGAACGAATTAGAAAAGGTTAAATACTTGAATAAACAGAATATCATCAATGAAGCGGTCGAAGATGTTATATCTGGTGAAACCCAAATACAAGAAACTTGCGAAGACACAGAACAACCATTGGAACAAATTATATCACAATTACTGATGCAAAATAGAGAGTTTCAAAAACTATTAAAGAAACAACAATTACGTAATACAGCTCAAAGAAGACATCAAAGATTGTTGAAATCACATTCAAATCCCGACGCGGTTATAACGAAAAACGAATTATCGAAATTCAAACCGAAATATATAAGACAAATGTCTGATAACATAGAATTGAATATAGAAGAAAATAATGACTCAAACAATCATAGTGAAGAGGATTTATCTGATGGAGATCATATATATGAAACATTACGAGTAGATAATATACACGAAGATTTACACGGTGACAAGGAAGATATGAAAGATATTCAACACACACATACGAAAACAAAACGACTATTAACTAGCGATGCTAATGTTAGTGGACCCGAATCAGATTATATATATCTATCATTCGATCAAATCAAAAACGATAGTTTAACCGACGGAATATACGACGTACCAGTTAAAACACCAGAAAAAGTTACTGATACCAAAACAAATGATTATTACGTTAGTATGGAGAATAAAGGACCGGCTACGAACGATAATATTTACGACAATCTGATAGACGTGCGACGAAGAAAGAAAGATTTACAGAATACACAGAGCGATTACTTACCTATGAGTCCCGAACAGAGTCCGAATACTCCCGAAGTATGGTTGAGTCGACAAAAAGAACATTTCAATGTATCCAGAGATCGTAAATCCGGGTCCTTACCGCGAAGCTTCCAAGTGATAACCCCTGGACAGGAAGATCCTAATCTAAGCACGTTCAAATGCAAACCTAACAGCAACAAAACGTATTTGAACAGAGACGGAAAAGTTATGAGCGTTGATAGACCATTCACTATCGCGTCCGATCAAAGTGAAATAAGTTACGATGATGTTGAGGCTTACATGAGCGAAGGAGACATATTAAAGTTTAATAACAAACAGAAAAGTAAAGAAGAAGATTATAATCAAGATATTAGCAGATCAACATTGGAATTAGAAGAGGAAATTGATAGATGCTATAAGAACAATTTCGAGAAAGTCGACTTAGACGCCAGCAAATGTGAAAACCAGTTGAATTCATCGCAACCTAATCTAAACGTATCCATGACGTCATCATGCGAAGCTCTCACCATAGAACAGAACGATGACAAAAATAAACATGACGTAGTACATCCAGAACATAAAATATACAAACCTACTACGAACGTTCTATCCCTCAAAAACGTTCTAAGTCGTTTCAAAACTAGGACTCCGCCTAAAAGCGTAGATGACTGCGAAGTCAATACAAACGACTCTGAAAAAACTGAACTAAAAAGTCCTACCAGTGAGAAACGATCGGCTTTGAATCCTAGGAGTTATTCCAAAAATTTACTCCAAAGATTCAGAAGCATAATTAGCGATGAACATCCCGATGATACTCAAAACAAAAGCAAAAACGATGATACACATACAAATAAGAGTGACATCAAAGTCATAATAACTTCAACAGACAATAGTCCAACGATATCTAATATTGTTTACACGTTAAACAGTGACGCGCTCAGTAAAAGTGTGTGTGATCACACAACTATGAGTGAAAGTCAGAAAGAGATTAACAAATTGGAGATAATGTCGCAAAGCTGTGAAGATATACAGAGACAGGCATTCAGACCTAATTACGAAAAGAGTATAAGTATGGTCACTAATATGACCAGTTCAGTAATCACGCAATCACCGTCAAAGTCAAACAATAGTTCTTACCAAAGTTTGAACAAATTACCAGTTTATATGCAAGGCAGCAAACACTTGGGCGCGAGGATAGCGCAATCAGATTACGTCGATCCAACTACATTAATCAACGAAAAGAATAACTTAAATAAGGTCAATGTCCTCATTAACAAGAACGCTTTAAGACCGGACAGTTTGTTCTCAAATTCGTCCTTCGTGACGTCATCTAGCGAAAGTACATATCAAGAGAGCCATACTAAAGTCACCAGCCAAATAAGCGAAAGGTCATTGACCTCAAAAGTAAATTCAGATGAGAGTTTCTATGAGAAATCCTTCGAGAAAATTGAAAATATCACCGACGAAGACATGTTCAGAGATTCCGCTGTGTACTCTGATCAAGAGGAAATAGAGGATCATGATGAGACGAAAAAAACAGTTGTAAATAAACATATAGGCAACGCACAGAGAGTTACAGTTACTACTAGTAATACAGAGAAATGTAACGTACAGACGAGAATAATAAATAAGACAGAAACACAGAAGAATATACACCATAGAATAGAAAAGTCTTTAAGCAGAGAGAAGATTAATAAACCTAAACTAGCACCACCTGTACCGGTTAAACCAAAAATAACAAACACCCAAACTGTTAACAGTAAAAACACAATTAAATACAAAGAAGCATCGTCTTCATCCGAATCAATAAACCGAACTCTCAAAAGAAATACAAGCTATAGGACCTCAAACGCGAAATCTGAATTCATGAACCCGACAAAGGAAAAAACCAACGAAAAAACAAAAGTCGATCCAGTTAACGTAAAAACTGAACCACAAGAAACCATACAAATTAAAAGATTAGGCTTCGAAAGAGCGAGCTTGGATTCAGCGACACGAAAACTAAAAGTTAACGAAAGAAGAACAGAACAAACAACGTCAAAATCAGTTCTGGAAAGAAGATTGGAATTGGAGAAAATAACTAAAAGTCAATCCAACGATAACCAACCGGCTAAACTACAAGTTAAACCAGCTGTTAAACCTAAATCAATTACATCAAAAGTTGCGTCATTCGAGAGAAGTGTCAGCGAAATTGCCAGAGAAAATAAAACATCTAGAAACTTCACGAATAAAGTCGACAACGAAGAACAAGATCCCAAAGAAAGTTGGGTCAAACAAGTTGTTAATAAATTCCAATAAAGTCTCTTTTTTTCCCCCCATTTTGTTTTATCCCAATGAATAAAACGATATTATTATTTATCGTGTAAATAAAAGTCCCAAATTAAACTTAGACTTATGTCTTGTGCCATAGCAAGATTTATATATTTTTTTTGCGCCGCACAAATATTCAACATGTACATATATAACTATGTTGTAATGCTTATTTTTTATATGTATTTTTTCCCAAAGTGCCATTTTGAACGTAAACGAACAATTATTCGTGCAATTTCAAATGATTTCAAAGTATTTATTATTTTAATTTTAAGTTACTTTATAATTACTAACACCAAAAAATAGAATGAACTAGGTTATTGTGTAAAAATTAAAAAAACACAATTTTAATTAATACATTCCGATACGGAACTTATGTTTTTTATTCATTTCAAATGTAATTTCTACATATTTTAACAATTTTTGCAAGTCATACTTTTTTCATCAGACAAATATTTCTTTAAACAATCAAATAATACTGGAGCGAAAATTATATTTTTTATAATCTGTGACAAAACTTAAATGTCAATTAATTCGCACATTTTTTTTTAATAAGTATTAACTTCAAACATACTTAATTAGCGAAGACTGTTAGTTTAAGAATAATTATCTCATTAAAACTAAATAATTCACTAACCAATACTACTTAATCTCAAACGAGAGCCGTGTACTCTAAAATGTAATCATTTTAATATAAAATTATGAATTTTATAATCCGTATATAACCAAAACGCTATACATATGCTAAAAGCATTTTAATAGGAAACAGTACATTTATATACAGCCTTAAGTGCAAAAAGATTTTATGCGAATAAAATAAATCCAAATATTTTTACTATCCAAAAAGGTTTTATTTCATTCACATAATATTCAACAATGAATTTTCGTACAATTACTGTTGTGACGCCGTTACTTAGGGTACATATTGTTTTGTTAAGTATTACTAATGCATATTGTTCATATCTAGGTAATATTTGATAATAAAACAGTTTTTTTTATAATATCCTTGTGTATTTATTGCCAACCTTGTTTTATTAGGAATAGGGAGGGGTGGGAATAAGGAAATGACAGGAAAAGGTGGGAATATTAAAAAGGCAAGCGGCTCTATCACTCATCGGACGAAACGCAGCTATTAAAGACTACTTCACGCAGATTTTCTGTGAGAGGGTGGTACTTCCCCGGTCGAGCCAGCCCATGTTTGAGCTGTAGTAACATAACCACAGCTAGGCTCTATCACCTACAAATTAACCTTTGCAAAATTAGAATAAATAAAATAATAATTTTGTTTACGTCACTTTGACAATTACTAAACAGCCGCTATTTTTTCTTCAATAAAAGTTTGCATACACTGTAAATGGAGCGTTCATTAATGAATTTTCGCACATTATAGTATTAACGTAGATTAATTATTATTGAATGAGAAACGAGAAACGATACGTATGTAGTGTGTCAATGCAAACATAGAATAGGCGTAAAGGAGTTAAGTAAAAACCTTGTTTTCATATTGACTGTCTAGGATTAATATTTTTTTTAAATCTTGATTTGTATTTAGGGCAAAATTTGGGATTATAAACGAAAGATTATGTTGTGGACATAATTTGGATCTCTCAATAGTCAATGGAGTTAGATTTCAAAGAGGAGAAATCATTAAAATGTTTATACCTACCTATTAGAAGTCGAGTAAACCTTAACACCTTAGCACTTTACGAATTTTTTACCCTCTGAGTGATTAATATACATTTTTCAATGTTCAATAAATGAATAATGTAAGTATAATAACCATGTAAATGAAAATAATTTACCGTATTTCAAACACAAAAGGTACTTAAATTCCCCTTAGTAGATCTTAAGGCCCCCAGATAGAACAAATATTTTTAGACGGACAAAACATTAATAATAGTATTAGTGTGTACAGTAAACATATACATATCAGCTAGATCAGATGAAATCAGCGGTGGCCTAGTAGTTTAAAGGTCCGCCTCTCATGCATGAGGGCGAGGGTTCGATTCTGGCAAGTACCAATGTGATTTTTCCGAGTCATATGTACTTTCTAAGAGTATTTAAACATCACAGATTAATGCATTCCTAAAAGAGGGTTGATGTGAAGCAGGCGGCCGGTCGTAAAAACAATGAGCCAAAGTTATTTACAACATGTAAGGCAGACCCTGGCTAAAGCTGGGAAATGGCCAGGTAGAAGAAGAAGATCAGCTAGTTCATACCGACGGGTGATTCTCATATAAATATATTTATACATATAAACGAGACTGGGTCCATTATGCTATAACGAAAAATTTAAAATCTTAAATAAAATACTCGAAAGATTCTCAAAAAGGCGTCTACTTTATTCTACTGAGACTTAATTCTTAATTTTAAGACAATTTTATTAAAATAGTTCCAATAATGTTGATATAATTTGTAAAACAGATAACATACTCGACGATTGAAATAACAAAGTAAGCTACATGTATGTGTTGATAACTGTATATCTACGTTTGTATTTATATCAATAACTATGTATGTATTGTACAATATAATATTTATTCTGTGCTTACATCAAATGAAATGAAAAATTGTGTAAAAAAAGCTAGCAAAAGAATAAATATGAACTTATATCTTTTTAAACGGCTGCCCAGCCCATTGTGAAAATTTTTACATCGTTAATTTTATTGTTACAAAACTAATGTACGTTACACTAGTGGATGTATTTAAAACATGCGTACCTAAGTGTTGACGACCATAAGCTACAATTTATCTTGCAAATTCTTGGAGTAGTTTAAAAAGTAAGTTATGGTTAAAGATATTCAATATTAAAATACAAATATGAAACATAATTTCAAAGGCTGCTTTTGTAGTAAAATAGCAACTAGAAAGGTGATATATGATTTAAAAAAAACAACTTCAAATAGAATCAATAAATTTAAGTCAGTGGTGGCCTGGTGGTTAGAAGGCCCGCCTCTCATGCACGAGGGCGCGGGTTCGATCCTGGCCCGGGCAAGTACCAATGTGATTTTCCCGAGTCGTATGTACTTTTCAAGAGAGTCAGGCAGGCGGCCGGTCGTAAAAACAATTACCCAAAATTATTTACAACATGTAAGGTAGACCCTGGCTAAAGCTGGGAAATTGCCAGGTAGAACAAGATTAAATAGAATCAATAACTGAAGACAAAGTTAATGAACATAAACTTGTCCATGAGCTCACAATATATCATTCAATGTATGTATTTTAATTATATCTAGTTTCATTTATATTAGCACAATATTTGGAAACATAGAATTATATATAAAAATACAAAAAAGTTATATTGCTTAAAAAATCAACCATGACAAAAAGCACAGATATACTTTCAATTTATTCAACGTATACCAAATCTTATCATATAATTTTCGTGGTTTTTCACGTAATCGGTATCTTCGTACAAGACAGTACTTGGCACTAACTTCGCGTGTCTCTTTGCTTCCAACAGTTAATATTGGGATCTTTTTGCTTGTGAAATTTGACAGGAAAATGATTTAAAGCTGTATAAATATCAAATTATAATAATGTAACTAGGTTCTCATTTTTATATAATATAAACTTATTGAGATTTTGCCATACCTACTGATATAATAAATATAAGATAATATAGAAAACCTACAACAAACTAAAATAAATTAAAGTATCTTTATTGTTAAAAGAGTTGTAGATTTATCTCATTGATGTCTATGTTAAATTTTGTTTTTCATATTATATTTTGATTATTAAGATAATGAATACTTTTTTGATATTCTATCGTAAGTTTATGGTTATATTTTCTATAGTCTTTTCCGTTATATACACAAAGCTATTAAAGATATCTTCGCGTGTTTCAACTCGTAATGTGTTTTCAAAACGCTGTAATGCCTGCTTTTGTTAAGCACGCTAGGCACTGCCAGTCGCTTAGTTTAAGAGATCACTTCTATTTTATCTTTTTAAGATATTATAATATAACTTAAATAATATCCAATACTTACTAATATTAGAGATTCACTCAGTGTATTAATTATAGTTTCGACAATTTTGTTGAATTTCTTGATGTATCATGTAAGTACAAGATACTTTAAGTTTATAAATTTAACAATAAAGTGTAAGTATTCTAATATTTTCAGTTCATATTATTTATTTTTAATAACAATGCTTTCGAACTAATTGTATAATAAAATTTTAAATACGATATATAATAGCTCTTAGTCTATAGTTTTCCTTTGAAAACTTTATTACAGAACGTAACCTATGCATCCCGTGAAGAGAAAGCAGGACAAAACACAGGGAACAAACTAAATCAAAATTTATAATACAACCATGTAGTATTCGTGGTTCATTTTTCGTAATCCGTGGACGCATCAGAAATAGAAAAGAGGTTTCATTAATATATAACCTTCATGTTCGTTTTTCCTAAAATAAAGAAGTATTTATTGGAGAAGTTATCAAGACGGTGGTGTGATCTGCTTGTGTACAAGTACAAGGCATGGGTTCAACTAGTTTCCTGAAGCCTAGGTCATCTATTTACAGAACTAAAAGCGGTTCTAGCGCAGGTTCTGACAAGGAAATGAATGCTAAACTTAAACGTTCAAAAATCAGGTAAGTTTTGTACTATTTTTGATCATTAATTTGATTGTTTTTGTTTATTAGACTTGTAAAATGTGTTTTGATTGTTTTTATTTATATTTTTGTCATCAAATTATTAACAGTACGTCCTTAATGTTATACTAAATTAAATATATTATTCAATTGTTATAATGTACGTAGGTCGAAAAATAAAGATGGAATTAAAAAAACACTGTCCACAAGAAATCTCTTTTATCAACATCTTAAATGTATTCTTAAGAAAATTCATGCTTTAATAGGTTGTTACTTTATTATGTATATTCTTTTTCTACCTGGAAATTTTCCAAGCTTTAGCCGTCTGCCTGACATCAACCCTCTATGGGAATGCATTAATTAGTGATGTCTAAATACTCTCAGAAAGTACTGTATATGGCTGGAAAAAGAAATCACATTGGCACTTTCCAGGGCCAGGATCGAACCCGCGCCCTCGTGCATGAAAGGCGGGCCTTTTAACCACTAGGCCACCACTGACTTCTACTTTATTATGCATATAAAATAAATTAATTTTACTATAATGTATAACAAACTCGAAGTTTCTGTTCTTAAAAATAAAAATAAAAATGAATATTCGAAATTAAATTCTTTTTTCTTGCTGAATTCTGCTTTATATCTAAACTAGTCTTCAAACTAAATAAATTCATATTAAAATAATAACACTCACATCTTAAATGCCTTACAATTTAAAATAACAATTGGTTAGAGTCCATACAAAATAATCACGTGGAAAGTTGAACAACACATTTTAACCAATTCATTGATTACAATTACAATTACTCACAAATAAACTATACGAATGTCTTATACCTACTTAATAACTAAAAAACATATATTTCTTTATTATATTTTTAATAATTCCTATAATAAAATACGCATTAATCAATTAAAATGTCCCAATTCTTGTGTGTATCATGGTTGCTATGACAACCGTGTGATCAATATTCTACATAGAAACTTTATTAGGGCCCCAGAGTTACAATGCGGTGGAAGTCTGTCCCATATATTTTTCATTTTTATTTTTTATTTTCCTCCAAAATGTTGCTTTAGTTTAATTTAATTTAATCATGTACAACCCGTATTTCTCGTGTAGGCGACCGGCCAAGATGAACGAATATGGAATGAAGAGGATACCGGATTACACTGAGATGGCTTACAAGGAGGCTGTGTCTAAACTGAAGTATTTCCTTTCGGGAAATAATCCGCCAAGCGTGAGTCGTTTTATATATTTCACCAAGGAGTTTTGTTGAATTATTTTCAATTAAAACAATTAATTAATATTCTTGACAATCATTAGTAGACAGACTATCAAAAATGAAGTTAATTTACTGTATAAATAAATAAATTAATTAAACTTAAGTTATCCTTTAACAATTTAATTACGGGATTGTTTTATGAAATGGTTTTTTAATTGATTTAATGGTTTTTGAATTTCTTATTTCATATTAAATTATTTCCGTAAAAATTATTTTAAAATAATCAAATCAGAGACCTTGTTTTTTACATTATTGCATTATTTTACATATCCATATCGTTCTAACTATTATTAATAATCAAAAATGTCTAACAATCAATCGAAGTATAACTTCCTACTGATATATAAAACCTTTTAACTCTATTCTAATTATACACAGGTACGAAGTTACGGTGGTTCAATTAAAAATCTGGATGAATCAGACGGAGATTTAGACAAGAAGTACCAGAGCTCATACAATAATCTATCTGAATATAAACTAAGGCCGCGACTCACGAGTAAATACTCCACTCTGTATGCAGACAGCCTTAGCAATTACAACCCGCCACAACCTACTATTAATACAAGTATGTATGTCTTAATCTTCTACCTGGCAATTTCACAGCTTTAGCCAGGGTCTGCCTTACATGTTGTGAATAGTTTTGGCTAATTGTTTTTACGACCGGCCGCCTGCCTGACATGAACACTCTTTGGGCAAAGTATGTATATCTTTATACATAAATACCTCGCTTTGCTCGGTATTATTAGGGATTATTAGTATTTATTTTGTGTTTTTTTTTTAATTTCGTTTAGGTTTTTTTAAGTGAACACGTTAAGAAGACAAAACAATATAAATCAACAACTAATTTCTTAATCTAACTTCAAAACAAACATGCATTGACTTCCTGGTACTTAACAACGCCACCTGCTGTTTTGTCGTTAAAGCAATTACTAAAAGCAATTATCAAAAAGTAGTATTACTATTCACCAATAGATGGCAGGAAGAGTCGTATTTTAAACAACTTTTTGTTATTTTTTTGAATAAAATAACATTTTCTAATAATTATTCCTAACTCCTATATACTTAATATTTTCATGAAAATCGTTGGAGCTCAGCTCAGTTGGAGGAAAAAGAATTGCTCATTTAAATATACATATAAAAGATATAAGATAAAAAAAAAAATATTTGAATTTAGTGACACGACAAATTTTTATTTGAACTGAAGATGACGTAATATATTCTTGTTGATAATATTTTAACGTAGATGGCGGTAGAAGTTTCATTTAAAGTTAATACTTAATAACGACGTTTTACCTACAAATAAAACGTATATTAAACATACTTACCTTATTCGAAGCCTAATTATATATATATGAGAGATATGCCATCGCTTCCGTTCCATGTTTTATCTCTTTTTTCCTTTGTTTTATCCTTTTCTCTCCCTTTCTTTCAATTCCACCACCACCACCAAGTGGCGCCATCCGAGTTAACAATATAATGGCGCTGACTTTGCTCGTCATTACGTCTGTTGTTTGCCACCAGGCAGTATTAAAGTATTAGGCTTCGAATAAGGTAAGTATGTTTAATATACGTTTTATTTGTAGGTAAAACGTCGTTATTAAACAACTGTACCGTTATTCGAAGCCTAATTATATATATATGAGACGTGTTTGTTATCGCCTGGTGGTGGTGGTCGACGTAATGTGACTACAGGGAATAACATTAGTAAAAAGTTAAAGAATGTATATTACAAATATTAATTTTTATTCTGAAAAAGGTATTAATACAACAAAATGTAATCATCTTCATACTGAACATATTATAAATTGCTTCTCGATTCTTATCAGAATTAATAATCAATAATATGAATTAATAATAACAAATTATTAATAATAATAAATCACTCATGTTGTTACTGGCGTAAACAAATTTTGTATTGAGTGTTCAGAAATTCTTGTTCTAGGAAGAATTTGTCGGCAATAGAACCGCTTAAAAGTTTTTTCTGATTTCCAATTGCCTCGAGCAAGAATATCTTCGATGGGGCTATTTTCGAGCCAACTTTTAGAGGCTACAGCGGCTCTAAAACTACCAGCCGATGCCATGACACCCGCTTCTTTAAGGAGATTCTTCATCCAACCACCAATTATAGATTTAGTGGCAGGTCTAGGCTTACCACAGGTTGAAATAAACAGATTTTCGCTATTAGAAGATTTTCTTCTATCACGCCCAATCATGACTAATCGGTTTATCCAATGAACAGGATCTAAATTTTTATTATTTTTGTTAATATTTAATCTCCAACCCGACTGGCGATAATTAATAGAGTCCGTTTTTGAGCCGAATGCTGGCCACAAAATAACATAATCATTTGATAAGACACAATCATTAGAATTGATTCGTAATAAAGTTAAATCATGTATCCGTCTTCCAGAGTACAATAAAAGAATAGCAGCAGTAATTTTAGATATTTCATATAAACATTCTGTGTCAGCGTCTATCGTGGAGATATGATTGAAAACTATCTCAATATCCCAAATCGGTGGTTTTGATGGTGAAGGTTTTGATAGTGAAATGGATTTCAACATTCGTTTCACTAGTGGATGGCTACTCAGACGCTCTGATGATTCCAAGTCACATAAGGTTGACACAACGGATTTATGTGACAGAATGGTGCTATAAGAAAACTTTTCCTTATAATGTAAATCACATAAAAATCGTGCTAAATCCGATCCCGTCGGTTTGATAATAATTACATTATTATCCTTCGCCCATTTTACCCATCGTGACCATGCAGTTTTATAAGACTTTAGAGTCGAAGGTCGCCAACTATCCATTAAAAGTTTTCTTTGTTCGGGTGACCATCCCTTTAATTGTTCATTCCACCCCCACATTTCCATACCTCCAGTACCATCTTCGATACATTCTGGGGAGGAAGGCCTGTTGATGTGTCTATCAACACTTGTGGAAGGTTCCGTATTGTCCAAGGAGCTGATATCGCTCGACTTTTTAGATCGGCCCTCCAAAATACCTTTTCCCATTTTGGTGCAACAATGAGGAATATACCCTGGCATTGATGCAGATGTTGTAAAATTTTGGGTATCAAAAACGGAGGAGGGAACACCCATGCCAACGGATAAGTCCATATTTGGGATAATGCATTGTGAAATTCCGCTTGTTCGTCCCGGCAATCCAGTGAGCAGTATCTCTTTACTACGCGTGTGAGATTCGACGCAAACAGGTCGATTACAGGGGTCCCCCATCGTGCAAACACGGGTGAAGTCCCTTGAGGTAGAAGATGCCACTCCGGATGGGTACGTCGTCGTGACAGCCGATCTGCCTCCGCGTTGTATATGCCGGGAATACGATGGATCGTCAGGCTTATTTCCAGATTGTGTAAAAGATGAAATATTTTGTACGTCAGATCCAGAAGGGTTTGTGATTTCGTTCCGCCCTCGTTGCGTAAGTAAGCAACAGCGGTTTTGTTGTCGCATTGTAAAAGAACAGATGCGTAACGCAGGCTCGGACTGTACTCTTCGAAGGATCTGAGTATGGCTAGTAATTCTTTGTGATTGCAATGCAATTTCTCTTCTGTTTTTGACCATACTCCGGACAGATTTACACTGTTTATCCTCGCTCCCCAGCCTCGGTCTGAAGCATCGGTGACCATGTAGTGGGTCGGAAGAGGCTCGTGAATTACGGAGCAGTCTCGAAGGTGCTGAAGCCACCACTGAAGTTCTGCTAGTGATTCGTTGTTCAGTTTGAAACTCTTTACTTCCCATCTTAGATATGTTATTGCTAATTTCTGAAGCTGCCGATAATTTAGCCTGCCCAGCGGAATAATGAAACTGGCAAAATTCATTTGTCCAATAAGGCTTTGAATTTCTTTTATATTCGTTTTTCGTTTTCTTATCACATTGCTTATTGACGAAAATAATTTTACTTGTTTCAATAAATGATAAATCAGGGGACGTTTTTACCCATAGTAAAAAGTTTCGAAGCTCCTTCTCGAGAACATCTTTTTGTTTTATAAGAGCGAAACTCAAGGAACCGTATGCTTTGTCGGCATTTAAAAGAAATCGGTTATTATCGTATTGCTTTAGCTCTTCATTTGCTTCTAATTCAGAAAAACCTGGGAAGTGACGATAATTTTTCTGCACATCCGAATACCTAACATTTCGCCATTGTGAATCGCCAAAGCATTGAACATTTTTTAAAATGTCTAAATAAGATGAGGGTGTTTGTAAAATTTCGGGATCTTTTAATTTAGTACTAATCGCTAACGAAAATTGGGGTTCTGGATCACTACAATCATTGTCTTCATATAGCTGACGACTTACATTGTCGTCTATATAGCTAGGTGTTTGATAACTACGATATTCATCATTATGTTCATTATTATTCAATCGATTTTTAAGATCATTGACCTCCTTAAACAATCTATCTAATTTCTTATCTTTGCGATGTCTTTTAGATTTATTTCGGCGACGCCGTTTAGAATTCGAAGAATCACTTGAACTACTCATCGAACTACTACTAGAAGATGATGAGCTCGAATCATCGCGATGTTTGTCCTGCTTTCTTTTCCGGCATGATTCTAATTTATTTATGTCTGAAGTTACTGGATTTATTGTGTCACTCATTTTAATCTAGAAAGAATATATTTTATAACGTAATATGAGGGTATATAAAAATTTTTATTACGAACGGAAAAATCCGTTTAATTAATCATAAATACGCTCAAAAAAGACGTTTTTAACGGTATTTATATCCAAAGTGAGTATTATAATATTCAAAGAAGTTATCTTATAACATTTAATTTATTTTACTGTTGCAAAATACATTATAGTTAATATTAAAAGTTAGTACGTACCTCGGACGTCGTATGCACTATAATAATCACTTTACACTCTTAAATTTCTCACTTTGGAACCTTATGGAACGAAAAACAACGACGTAATGACGAGCAAAGTCAGCGCCATTATATTGTTAACTCGGATGGCGCCACTTGGTGGTGGTGGTGGAATTGAAAGAAAGGGAGAGAAAAGGATAAAACAAAGGAAAAAAGAGATAAAACATGGAACGGAAGCGATGGCATATCTCTCATATATATATAATTAGGCTTCGAATAACGGTACAGTTGTTTAATAGGTAGGTATACAGTTTTTAACAAATTATATAAATCACAAATAACGTTTTTTCTCCGCAATGAACTCCGAAACTATTTAACTGATTTTAAATTAAATTTGCACAACGTGTGTATTTTAATCCAACTTGAAAGATAGGATAGCTTATATCTTAATTTATAGACGAAATATCATCTTATTGCAAAGTATATATTATTTGACATTCACAATTATCTGTTAAATTAAGGTATAACAGTTGTTTTATGTATGACTTTATTAATAGCTATTGTTTTGACACATTTTATAAATTTTTAATTTGTGACATGCTCACGAGAACGAAGTCGCGGGTATAAACTAGTATATTATATATACAATAAAATAGTTTTAATATGTGTGTATATGTCTCATGTACTACAATGACAAGATTTATTTACTTTTTAAATATAATTTATTATTGGAATATCATCGAAAATGTTTACTTCATATAAATTAAAATTTATAATTAATGGTCACAGGATGATAAAATATATCTTTAAGTTATGAGTTATTTCGATATCAAATTGTTAAGTTTACGTAATTTTCTATTAATTTTCGACTTTTAAACATAACATTATTATTAAGTAAGTTAAATAAGTCCAGAATCAAATTCTATCTTTCTTTTAACTTACATTTAGTTATACCTTATCTTATTATCTTTCCTTTCTTTATATTTAAAGATAATCTCGTCTCCCAAGACGTCGGTAGCTCCAACCCTGACGTGGTGAACTTCATTCAGAAACAAGAAGAATACATCGAACAACTGGAGAGAGAGAGCCAGTATTGTAGGGTAATGATATAAACACAATAATTCTGATAACTAATATTTTCATATACAAATACAAATTAAACTGTATTTTTAATGTATATTGGTCATGAAAAAGGAGTAAGTTTAAGTAAATGAGTAAAGCTACGGACTTATATGCTTTATATGGAGAATTTAATCATGTTACAATAATTCACCTTTTTATTTTTTTTACATATTTAAATTGCGAAATGTTAGTATGTATACGAGTATACGATGTTTGTTTTATTTTTCTTTTGTCTATCATGATTCACATTCATAGTTTGTTAATCAACTTTTAATTAAACATATTTTCTATATTGCAAAAGTAATCAAAAGAAGTTGAAGATCAATTTTGAATAATTTGTTTATTTAACAAACATAATGTGATTTTTCTTTGAGTAAAATATAAACTATATTCTTATATATCAAAATATTGGTTGAGAAAACTGAATTTCGACAAAACTCTACTTCTGTTTCAAATAACCGTCGTAAATTCTTGATACAAATTACGAAGCTATTGAAAAGCCATATATAGCGTATTAGTGGTTTATTTTTGACTAAAGTAACCGATTACGTGTTATCAAATATATATGAAGTACACGTTTAATTTCAGGACGAACTGAACAATCTCCTCGGTAAAGTCAAAGAGGTTATAACAGAAAACGAACATTTACACGAGGCGCAGAAAAATAAGATTATATCTAGAATGTTCCATTCATACAACGAGTCGGAAACTGACGATTTAGATGACGTGGGAGATAGCACTGGGTTGGACAGTGACTCGAAGGTAAATGAAAAGGGTTAAGGTTCTAAATGTCTTGTTAAATCATGGTTTGATGTATGAGGAGGGAAATAATAATCGGTTTGATAATGGATTGATGGGAAATAATATAAAAATCAAGCACTAAAGACCAGGTTTATGGCTGTCTGTCAATGACAATTTATTTAATTAACTCTATTGGAGTAACGTATTTGATAGAAGTGTTATAAATTCTGATCAATAGATTAATATTATTCGTTCCTTTTCCTGTCTTTATTTTAGTGTGACAATATTCGTTATCAAAACGTTTTGCTATATGACTTTAGAATGAACAAAATCGACACTCATTTTCATAATCTTAAGTAATGTTTAAAGTTATTTAGCGTATGTTCTGTCAGGAACTTATAGAACTTAACTATAACTATAACTTATAACTCATAGAATTTAAACGGTTTCTGAGATGTAGATTACTTATAAAAGGTTTTATAAAGGTAATTATTGTTATCTAATAGAAGAAAACTGTAGATTCTACTGAACCAAAAAATATATAATTCATTCGTTTCCTCAAAATACACATAAAGCAATGCAAGTTAAATTCCCAATTTCATTTGGCTCTTATTCCTGTAATAGTTAAGAACTATTAATAGATTATATATATAAATGTTTATGAAATTTTGTAAAGATAGATAATTCTTCTCTCAATTCTTTTCAAAGATATCACCATCAAAGTCTCGTAAGACAAGGTCTCGTTCTACAAAACTCGAGGGTCCCAATATAGTATTTGAATCCCGGATCTCCGAACTTGAAGCTCAACTGACGCAATCAAAAATAGACCTCAAGAAACTTCAGGTAATTATTCTTATATATAAAACAATAATTTAATCAGATAATAGATTTCTTTTAATATTAGGACGAAAACAACGAATATAAACGGAAACTGGCGAATGGGCTCGTGGATTCAACTTGTCTAGATGGATTTAAACGACAAATTGATAATTTACAAAGGTAAAAATATTTATAATTAAAATCAAAATAAATTTTCAATTCAATACCTAATTTCCTTTCAAAAAAAGAAATTTATATCAATTTTACATACATAAGTATGTTTTGATAAAATATATAAATGTATTAATTTTCTTAATCAAAAGCATATAATAATCAGAAAGTTTGTTTATTTTTCTCTTTATTATAGAGATAAAACAGCATTGGAGTCACAGATATCAAAATTGAAACTAAGTTTGGAGCAAAAAGAAGGGGATTTCGAATCAAAATACAAGAAAGGTTCTGATATTATAGAACAGCAATTACGAGAGGAGAGAAACAACTTGGAAACAGAGATACGAAGATTAAAGGTGAGTATTTAATAATAACTATTAATAAAATTTGTTATTTATAAGAATATTCGCTAAAAATTAATATTATAAAACTTAAATCTTCAAGGCGGGAGTATGGAGTTCAAAATAATACTAAAAAACACGTAGTTATCTGAAATATTAGTTTTATTTAAATGAATACTCGCGAAAGTATTGGATGTCAATAAATCTTCATCTTTTCCTAGATTTTTTTATAGGCTTTCGTTAGAGACTGATTTCCTTATTGGTCACAATTATTTTAATTCCTATTAATTTCGTGTATACATAAACTTTATTTATGTTAACACGTTCATTATATATAATAAATAAGCCTGATTGGGTTAAATGTATTCAATATAAAAAAATCATACTTTTATCTTCATACATACATATTTTTATCTTCTTTTGCTTGTGTTAACAAAGTCTCAATAATATAACTCAATATGAACTTACATACTCATTATTTGCAATTGAAATAATCATTTCTTTTATATATTTGAATATAATCAATTGCATTCCTCATTTTCGTACTGAAAATAATAGAAAGGACTTATTTGATTATTTTTTGCTAACCATACATTAACACTAGTATATTTTAATGTATATAATAGATATAATTGAAGGTTATTGACCAATATATAATTAAATTATCTTTTAATTAATTATTATTATTATATATAGGATGAGTTATCTTCGGAGCGCGTAAAGAGTCGTTCTTTAGCTGGTGAGGGAGCTCGGCGTGCGGTGGCTGAGAGGAGCGCCGCGGAGCAGAGGTACCATCAACACTGTGACGAACTACAGAGAGATCTGGCTGTTCAGTACGACTATGTGGCTAAACTACAGGTACAGACACGCACACGCACACACACACACACACACACACACACACACATACAAATATATCAGAATTAAAGGTCCATCGAAATAAAAAACATAGGGCATAGAAACATATAAACATAGAATAAAATCAAACACCCGTACACACGTACATTAATAATGGAATATATAAACATAAATGAAAACACACACACAAATATATTAGAGATGAAAAGCACGTCGATATACAAAACATGTATTTTCACACACATTCATATGTAATTAAAACACATATATACATACATTTTCATATGCACAAAACAAAATAAAACGACATACTTGTATTAAATCGTATAATTTTCAAAGCAATTTCCTCAATTAATGTTATTTAGAAGATACTTCTAGAACTTTTATTTTCAATATTTCAACAGTTGGATCTGGAGCGCCAACGTCGGGAGGAGAACGACTTGAAACGAGAGATATCAATGAAAAACACAGCCATAGAAGAACTTAAAATGGAATTGAAGAATAAAACTGGTGAATTTAATATAAATATAACAATTAATATATATATTTATAACAGACATCTTGTCTGTACGTGATCATAGTTGCAAAGTAACTTAAATATCGGCAGTATGTAATAATATAGTAAAAAAAATTAAAACCAATGTGCTTTAGACCACACTGAAGTAAAACTTCTTTCGCTCCATATATATGTAATATGTATATGTTTATTTATGTGTAGTACAAACATGTATATACATATACACATATAAATTTTGTACAAATATTTGAATTCATTATGGGTTATTATTGATAAATTAATATTTTTAATTAGATAAGTATTTCTTTTTATTTATTATTTTCATTATATTCATTATATTCATCATCGGATATATCAGTAACTAGCTTTTGCCGGGACTACATCCGCGTGGAATAGTGACTTCCGGCAGATTTTTGGTTCTTCCCACATAGTTCCCGTTCTTGCGGGGTTTTCGGAATGGTCGAGTTCCCGTAGAATTTTCAGGATAAAACCTATGTTTTTTTTATTCACAATGAAGTACTCTTAACCAACAACATATTTATTTGTTTATTTGAATAAAGATTAATATTAGTATGTTGATACAACTTAAACAAATTATTTCGAGAAATTAGGTACCATAAAAACGGTTTTTGTGAGTTAATCTTAAAAGATAGACATAAACTGTCCTGGACTGTTTTTTAGATCATTAAAAGAGCTATTATTCTTTAATACATATTTTTTGTGTATCTTGAACCGTTTTCACGGCGCACGCAACGGAGGGCTCCAAAGATGAAATAATATCTCCCGTTTTTTTCACATTTACCGCTATATCTTTGCTCCTATTGGTCGTAGCGTGATGTTATATAGCCTACAGCTTTCCTCGATAACTGGACTATCCAACACAAAAAGAATTATTCAATTCGAACTAGTAGTTTCGGAGATTAGCGCTTTCAAACAAACAAACAAACAAACTCTTCAGCTTTATAATATTAGTATAGATTACTTTTCGTAACGCTTTCGTCACGCATTCACCAACTTACTCCAAAGTCATATTTGCGTAAAGAAGTTTTACTTCAATAAAAAACGCGTAGTAATCCGAACATATCAGTTTCATTTAAATGAATACTCTTATAATCTTAGATTTCATATGTAGATATCATTTATTTATCTTATAATTTATATTCCAGCATCCCTTCAAGCGGATTTGGCTCAAGCTCACGCTGAAAAAGCTGCTTTGGAAGAAGAACTTGCGAACGCAAGACTTGCTATGGAGAGACAACAACGACAAGCTAAACATGAGACCAATAGACTCAACTCAGAGGTTAAAAGAAATTTTGATAAAATATACTTTAATAAAATTAAGTCAGTGGTGGCCTAGTGGTTAACGGGCTCGCCTCTCGTTGCCGAGGGCGCGGGTTCAAACCTGGCAAGTACCAATGTGATTTTTCGGAGTCATATGTACTTTCTAAGAGTATTTCGACATCACTGACAGATGAAGGAAAACATCATGAGGAAACCTGGACTTATAGTTTCACAATTATAAGTTTGAAATCACCAACCCGTCTTGAGCAAGCGTGGTGATTAATTCTCAAACCTTCTCCATGTGAGAAAGAGGCCTTGCTCAGCAGTGGGCTCTGATAGGCTGATGACATACTTTAATTAGTTTTTGTCCTCGACTTTGTCTACTTTAATTTCAGTATTAGTAATATATTTAAATGAAACTAATATTTTTCGGATACTCCCGGTGTTTCGGCTACTTTTCAGCAACGGGAGTAGGTATATAGTTTTTAACAAAAATAAAGTCGCGTAGTATATCTGAAAAATATTAGTTTCATTTAAATGAATTAAACTCGCGAAACTTTTAGATCTCATTAGTAATATGTAGGTATAGCGGGCGAACTCTATTCTGACCTAAAGGCAGTAAATAACCAGAGATTGGAAATTATTGGGGTTTTTTTGTCGATCGAACAGAATTAAATATCCTATGTCCGTCACCTAATTCTAAGCTATCTCCTCACCAATTTTCAAGCACATCCCTACAGCCGTTCTTGAATTATAAATAGTGTAACTAACACGACTTTCTTTTATATATATATTGATGAGTCCTATATAAAAAAACGAAATAAAATTAAATTAAATTCAGTTTAAAGCAGGTTTATCCACGTTAAAGTTTTATAAGTGTTAGAATCATTTAAGTTACATGTTTGATATAGAATTTAAAATAGATTATAATTCCTATTTGGAAATATCTTTTCAGATACAATCTGTTCGTCAACGTTTGGATAGATCTGATGCTGATTTGGTTCACTCAAGACGTGAGAATTTACGTCTATCTGAACAAATTTCCAACCTGGAAAGGGAGGTACGATCAAAACATATTTTAAATGAATAAATTAATTTCTTTGCTAAGTATATTATATTTTCTTAGCTGAACATGAAAAACTTGACTCCAATATCGCCGGATAAAAAGGGAAAGGAAAAGGAATTATCCACAATGTTGGAATCCATGGAAAATAAACATGGTAAGTTTGATTTGATTCTGGACCTAATAACAATAAAAAATTACGAATTTCTTACAAATACAGTATGTTATTACTATTCATTATCGGGTAAACTATTGATGTTTTGAAAGAATGTCGTACATCAACCGTTAAATCTTCAAAACATTCGTATTTTACCCTTTCATACGCTTGCATGGTTTCATAGAAAGGGCTTCTTTCAACTTCAATAGTTTATTCATCAGATTGTTGTTACGATATAAACATTACGAAACACACAAAATTAGGTTTCCTTTTTGGACATGGCTGTATCGAAACGAATTTGTTTCCGCAGCAAAGACAGTCGCTGAGTTGGAGTCAATGATTCAATCACAAAACAGTCTGATGGAGAAACTCACCGGTGAATGTCGTTTGCTTACTGACAAACTCGACGACTCGACCCGTAGGCACAAGTACGAACATTTATCAAATAGATGCATGCTACCAATAAAACATAACTTACGCACACTAATATAAGCTATTGTTATCATTACCCATTTATTTTGAGAGCTTATCCACTTATACATGTAAGAAATTTCCTAACGTCGTGCTGTGTTTTCATTGGCTGCAGGCAGTCGCAGTGCAGACGAACCAATCAGAACACAGCGCGACAGATCAACAACACGAGATACACCAATCAGAACACACCGTTCCACGCGCGTAAAAGAGTCCGATTCGTCGAATAATTACCCGGTTGTAGTCGGTCCGTTGACGACAAATCAGGATCTCGGGAATGTAAACGGTGAAAAAATCTATAATCTGCCATTGATGATTCAACAGCCCTTTTTACGAGAGAAAAAGGAGCCGATAAAAGTTGATATCAGTGTTAAATTAATACCGAAAACAAGAAAGAAAGATAAAAAAAGAAGGGAGGCGCGTGTAGAAGAAATACAATCACCAGATAGAAATAAGGGTGTTGTTAATAGTATTAATTTGGAAGTCACCGATAAAAATGTACAACTTATTAGAGAAAATGTAGAAGTTATTAAAGATAAGACAAATGAAACACAAAGAAGAGAATCGTCTACTACAGAATGTCAGAAAGTCAATGAAAATATTGAAAATGTCAAAGATACAATCGAATCAAATGACAATGAAGAAGCAATAATAAAAGATAATATTATTACTGATGATGAAAAATCAAAGTTTTCAGATTCAAAACTAGATGATGATTTGAAATTAAATAACACTGAAGAAGAAACTGATTCAAAACAAGTATTAGACGATACAGATGAAGAAACAAAAATTTAATTAACATTCACATTTAGGCACTTAGATCTTAGATTCTCTATTGGCTATTCTAAAATAAACTATTATAAAACTCTGCTTAGATTTATCGCATGAAATTTTAGGCAATTTTTATCATATTTAAAGATAATTTGTTATAATTATTTCATATTTGACAGTGTGCAATAAGTCGTTATTTTTACATTTTGAGATTATTATCATGTTATTTCAGCTTTTTTTAAGCAAATGTTAACGTATTTTGTACTTTAAATATGTTTTGTTTTTAAATAAATGGGTAATGGTTACAATTTCTATATTTAATGTTAAGCGGTAAAATGTATTTGTCTTTATAATATATTCTAATCATTATATGGACTTATAATAAAATGCTTTTCACCATAAATATCTTACATCTATCAACCTTTCCACTTCTTTGTGTATTCAAAATTACTTATATCACACAAACAAAAAAGGTTTAATTGATAAATAATAATCCATTTAGAATAATTTAATCCACAAAACTTAGGTTGAACATTCACAAAGATCACTTTCTTTCAGACTGGAAAAGACACAGTTGCTTTGCAGGAATTCTGAACTTATGAGAAAACTAAGAAATCTATGGTCTTCTCATAAGAAATACTGCACAAGCACTATAGCACAATATCGAAGTAACACTCCATTAAGCGGATATCCAAGTAGCTCTTGTTATGACCTAGAACGCACTTACATGACCTCGTCACCATATAGAAATAGATTTAGAAGAACATCATTATCTAGTGACTCAAGAGATGAGATCGGATATCTCAGCAAACATTTAAGCGATCTATCCATTAATAAACTAAATAATTCCGACGATGATCCTTTAAAGGTAAGAATATAATACTAGGTCCATGGAGTAAAATTTTATTATTTTCGTACTTAGAAAATTCACGTAGATTTAGGACTTACATATAATATTTGCACGCTTATACTGAATTGAAATGCATAGTATTCGCATACTGTAAATAAAAACCAATCATATTATAATACATTTTATCCTAAGTTACAAAATAAACCAAATATTTGACTATGTGTATGCATGTTGCACGTGTGTGTGTGTTATCACGTGTGTGTGTGTTCAGGGAAGAACTGGCAAATCTGCAGCGTCAAGTAGAAAACCTCGGACGAAATCTGCAGACACCGCACCCACCTAGCAATTATCAAGGTATTTTTATTCCTATATTCATTCAAGGGACCTATAGGTATATAATAGTTTCTCAATATTAAATTGACGATAAACTCAAAGAGACTAATTAAGTTGTACAATATTTGTCAAGTAAAAAGAATAATTCATTATGTTACCAGCTAAAAAAAAATGTGTAGGAGTTTTTCTGTTATCTGTTTTAGGAATCTAATAGTGAAAGTACTAAAATAATCTTTTTATTCTTCAATTCCAATGAAATCCTAGATAATTACATTTTATTCGTAAACTAATTAATATTAGACTAAGTTTGTATCAATCCTAATCATCTTAATCTTATTTATGTTACAAATTTTTGTTCGTTACATTCTTTAAATGTTTCTGATAGATTGAATGTAGTTTTATTATAATAGACTAAGTATTGTTATATTCTAGCACCTACCACGCACGCGCCCATCACAAATAGAATATCAAATAGTTCAGCCGACGCCGGATTTGGACATACCGGAGGTGACTCCCCCAGAAACACCTCGCTCAGACATCACGACAACAACACAGGAAACTCTGATACACACCAAAACAGAGATATAAGTGTGAAAAAACAGAAATCGGATAGTCCTAAGGTCCAAAATAAACTAAAAAATACACCAGAGATAGCACCAGTACAAGAAAATAAATTAACAAAACAGTCTTCAAAAGAAATCATAGATAACAATCAGTTAAAAACCCAAAAAGATGTTGCATTAGAAGAAAATCCAAGAGAAAACGTAGAAAATACTCTTAAAGAAGAGACTCATACAGAAATAAAACAAAATGAAAGTCAGGAAGAAAATAAAGTTGAGAAAGAAAACTCGCAAACAGAAAATACAGTGGAAAAACGACCAGAAGAATATGAAAATCAAAATTATACAGAACAAGGTTATGAAAACTATGAACAAAATTACGAACAACAACAATACAGTGAACAACCAACGTATTCTGAACAAGAATACGCTGAGAATACTGAATATCCAGCCCAAGAATACAATGAACAACAACAATATACCGAGCAATATGAAAACTATGAACAATATATTGATCCCAACACGCAGTATGAAACACAACAAGAATATGAGAATTACGCCACTGATGGTAACTATAGCAACCAAAACTATGAGAATCCTCAAGAAGATTATGCTCCAGAATTTCCTAATTCTGCAAAGGAAATCACAGAATCTGTAGAAAGCAAAACGCTTGACGAAAAATTGACTAGCCAAAGTTAGCATAGATAATTTACATTTGTTTTACGTGCAATATTTGTTATAATTTATCTTGTTTAGCTGAGAGTTTTGATGCCATTTTGCTTTTGATGTTAGAAAACCATTGTTTGTATTCGTAAAAGGTAAAATACCATAATGGTAATAGACTATTAGAGTAACTTTGCTCAATAAATTGAATTCTAGAACGAAGAAGGGGTGTTTTATTTAAGACATTTTTTGCAGAAAAGCTATTTATACTCTAAATAATAGAAGGCCAAACTATGATATATTGTTATTTAAAATTTAGAAAGACAAGTGCATTAAATACACAAAAATATTATTCTTTATCTTAATTTGCCATTTGTTGAAATCGCAAAAGCCTAAGTATTATAAATATTAAATCCTAAATGTATGTATAAGAAACTTAGCATTCAATAATTATGAATGGCGTGAGAAAAACATAATTCGCTAGGAAGTAAATTTTACGGTTCTTTAAATAAACAATATTAATTAACTAAAGGTATTGATGCTAACACGTGAATTCTCATTTTAGTTTTATAACAGTGTGACAATGCACTTCGTAATTTTATTAAACATACTTTTTTCTTTTCTCTTCTCATTTTGCCTAACTAGAACTTTGGTAAGCATATTTTTAATATTATTCCGTCTTACAAAGAGTTCAGAAATATATATTAAATTACAAAAATGTAGATAAAAAAAAACAATATAAAAAAGTTTGACAAAAATACATACATTTTTAACCAACCATTATTCTCTATTTATTGAAACAGGAAGACAAAAATGAAAATGTTGTGGTAAGATTGAAGACAATAATACTATTAATCAAAAATCATGCCTCAGAGCTTAAAATAAAGTCTTTATTAACGAAAAATATTATTTCGGCAGGTTAAGCCTATAGGAAATATATCAAGTGTAAGTTCAAAGTAAAATAACTTGTAATTTAATGACATCTGTAACATATTAAGACTGTTACTAACAGTACGACATTGTTGTTAACAGATACTCAAAGCTAACAATACTCTAACATATTCACAAATGAAGCCAAATAATAGCGAGAATTTATCGAGTGACAACAAAAATAAACCAACACCCAGTGATATTTATAAAAAAGATATCGAAAGATTACAAGAAAAAATTAAAGAACTGTCAAAAGAAAAGAAACAAAAGCTGTCAAGCGATCAGCTCATAGATAAAATATTAGAAATGATTTTAGAACATAAAGATTTAGAATTAAAAAAATGTAATCATGATGACAATGATCTTAACGATTTGAGAATATCTAATTTGCATAATGTTTTAAAAAATATGGGCTTGGGACAGGATTATTACGATTCTGTAGAATATGTGGAGAACAGAAGGGTTGGTTTAATTTTTTTTATACTTCTCATTACTATTCTTTGACAAATTTAAATTTTATTTTTATTAATTTATAGCTCCCTGTGAGTCTAGAGGTAAGATTCATCAAGACTTTTGATTGCTTAAAATTATATTAATAAATTTAATTAAAAATTTCTAAGATAAAATATATAAGTGATATTTTTTAGACTCCTGAAAATGGCGTGCTCGGGGTAACATTTTAACTATTTTTACTTTTATACAACATAGTGTAATATGCTTTTAATGTATTTTTTGATAATTTCAGAGACTTTATTTTAATTTCGTAAGTTATATAAACTTCATACTGTTACTAATGCATACATTATATGTAAATACTTTAAGAATACAAATATTTTCTGGGGCTAATTGATTTCAAGCGTCTTTTAATATTATTTTAATATTTTACCTAGCCTGTTTATTTTGTAAATTACTTGAATTGTACTTTAATATGTTTTAAGGACCCAATCAAGGATTTTGGAAGGCAGGGCAATTCGCAACGGACGCGTGAAAAAGTAAAATATATGTCTTAAATTAGGATTTCGTTTCTTCATTTCTTAATTATGTTTTTAATTACCTTTCAGACTTCTAAAGATGGGGTGCTAGGGGTAATTTTTTATACAGGGTGACTGGTGAATTACTATCAATATTTAAGGAGAATACTCGGTACATGATTCTCATTCGAATTATATAAAAAAATAGGCACTTAATTTTTGACAAAATTTCCGTATAAATAAGTAAAGTGTTGACACGTTCCAAGTGTTCAAGTGTGGACGCGTGCGGCGACGTGTTGATACAACACCACGTCAAGACATGCGTATGTGTGAGTGTCAGTGTATACCTAATCTGTAGGGTGTTCACACGATGCGTAATTAATTACATAACTTTTGGTTAACTTTACTTAGAAGTTTATTAATATTTGTCATCAGCCTATTAACGCCCACTGCTGAGCATAGCCTCTTCTCACATGGAGAAGGTTTTTGAGCATTAATCACCACGCTTGCTCAAGACGGGTTGGTGATTTCAAACTTATAATTGTGAAACTATAAGTCCAGGTTTCCTCACGTTTCCAGGTTTATTAATATTTATGTTATATTAATTTTTATTTTGTCATATATGATCGTCAAATATCACGTCCTCAAATATCGATAGTAATTCACCAGTCACCCTGTATATTTTTGTTATTTTTATATTCCGTTCATGAAAAATTTATTAAATATTTTCTGTAATCCATATTTTCAGAAGATACACTTTAATTTCGTAAGTAAATACGTTTACTTCTATACTTTGTTCTCTATAGTAAATATGTATTGTTAAATTGTATTTATTTTGGTATGTTTTAGCAACCGATTGATGATTCAGAAGATCGTAGATAAAGAAAACGTAAAATAAAATATACTTTTGTAAAAAATAAAGAGCTGCGTGTTTTTATTACTGACAATTGCGTAAAATAACTTTATTGTAAGTAAGTATTATTACTAGAATCTCGAGAATTCTATATTTAAGTAAGTATTCTTACATGAATCCCGAGCTAATAAAAATAATTGTCATTTTGACAATGACAAACACTCGTATATTGGACTCGGTTCAAAACAAACAAAATATAACCTCTTATTAATAGAATAAAACTTATATATCACTGTTTATAATATAAAATGGTTTGTGATAAATGTGAGAAAAAGCTTGGACGCGTCATCACCCCTGATCCTTGGAAGACGGGAGCGCGTAATACTGTGGAATCAGGAGGTAGGAAAGTCGGTGAAAACAAAGCATTAACAGCGAAAAAAGCCAGATATAATCCGTATACCTCGAAATTTTACGAATGCAAGTAAGTATTTTATTATAATTACTAAAAAAATAGCTTGTTACTCACGATTCCATGTTAGAGTAGCGTTCTTTACATTGACTACATAAATCGAACTTTGAAGCGTCTAAATGTACATAATTAATTTAAAACAAATACGAATATGCTTTAAATATAACGTTTATGTGTTTCAATAAGTCCAAATGTAATTTCGCTAGCTTTAATGAAGTTTTTTTTTAGGATTTGCCGAACCAAAGTACATCAAGTCGGTTCACACTATTGCCAAGCCTGCGCTTACAAGAAGGGAATATGTGCTATGTGTGGGAAGAAAATACTTGATACTTCAAATTATAGGCAGAGTTCGACTTAAATTTATCAAGACTTAACCAATTAATAAACAAGGAGGTTTTAATTCGACTGTATATTTTTAAACCTTTTAATAAACGCACAAATATGTTAATATGAACAACGACAGTCATATTAAGTAAATTTATATTATTAAGTTGTTAAAATAGTGTTAAGGTAAACACAGGGTTATTCTAATCCTATATGAAATCTGTGTAATTAATTTAAATAAATAAATCTTTGATAATAAAGTGATTTATTAAAATTTTATCCTTTATCTTCTTAAACTGATGTCTTTGTACTTATAAATTTGAATTGTAGTTTGATTAAAAAAAAGAAATTATTTATGGCATTAACAACAATTACCTACTTGATTTTTTAAAATTCAGCCAATGTCACAGATGTTTATTAAAAATAGGTTATATAGTATTTATTTTAATCTGGCATCATACCAATATTTTATTAATCATATTGTACATAATTATGTACATTAAAAATAGGGAAAATATATAAAGAAACGTCATGATTCAATATAATTCTATTTATTATTCGAAAATTTTTATAGTCGTCATGTACATGGAAAGGTTGAAGCAATTATTTTTTTTATTCTATGATAAGAAACATCACAATAATGTTTAGGATTTATTTTGTTTGTACGAAGCTATTACTATTTGTGGTAAGAATGATTGAATTCTGATTTAATTAAGAAACTGAAAAAAAACAAGTTTACATCTATATTTTCTACCAAAATTTTTATCACTGGGAATATTTTAGTAACACTATGTACATATTTAACTTGATATCATAAATCCAGGAAAGTTTTAAAAATATTAATCATATTGAAATCTAATTTTTCAGTCAGTATTTCCTTTTGAGGTCTACAAGATACCGAGGTCAATAATAAAAGATTATATACACAATTTTCCCAAACAATTCGATTATTTAAAACTAAACAATGCTTTAATTTACAAAAAACAAATAGATCATGATAAATATGATGAATCCTTAGAAACCAAAAAAAATTATGAAAAGTTATTGGAACAACTAAAATTTGTTTTAACTGTTACATTAAAGGGTGTAAGTATAAAAACTATGTTGTTTAAAGCACATTTATAGATTACATTTCTTAAGCGAGTGACATCTTATTTTTACCTTCAAGTTTTAAAGTATAAACATAATTGATTTAAATAGTTTTATAATCATTCTAACACAATTTCTGCTCCTACTAACTCACCTAGCTGTCTAACCTGACAGTTGTTTAAATTATTTTCGACAACTAAATTCTTTACATGTAAAATAGACGTCGAAGTAGTTCTAGTATTAAAATTATGACTTTTCCTTATTTATACATCTTCAATATAAATTCTAACCCAATGACTAATTTATGTTAAGTTTTTCTCATGTTAATAAAACATTAATTAATAGCGATCTATTAAGACCAAGTGAACAATGAGTGCTTTCTCATTTTAATTTAATTTAACAAAATAAACAAGCAACATAATTAAATTAATAAAAATTTCTTTATATATTAAACACGAGTCTATTAAGTAATTTTATAAATTAAACTTACAAAAACATACTTTCATATCACTAATTCAATAGTTACATACGTAGGTATATTATTGATTTCAGAATTATGAAATATACAATCAACATTTTTTGCCTGATTTTTTTATTACATACTAAGATTTTATTTAATGGTATGTATTACAGATAGACAAAAGTCAATCAAACGATATTAAAATATATGAGGGACAAAAAAAAAGGAATCCGCGGCGAAATTCAAATGACAATACTTATGTCAATTCTAGTAACTCGTCCGAAGAAATATCGGATCAAAACATGAACTTTAGAGATGAATATGATAATTGTGAGCGAGGGAGGAGAAAATGCCTTAAAGCTTGTAAATCAGCTTACAGAGAGGCCTGCTACTTGGAAGGTTGTCCAGAAGTCAGGGGATTACTAAGAAAAAGATGTAAAAGATCTTGTAGAAGATGGTTTAGTTAATAAAGATATAATTTTGTAATATGTTTTTATTGTAATCCCCTTAAGAAATGGACAACGTAATGTAATTTGAAGATTTAATCTTGTTTTTCCTTTTAATTATGTCACTTAAGGTAAACGGATAATTCTAATTAAGGTAAAAAAGAACGGAAATAGTGCCGTAAAATAAGTAAATTTGTTTTTTTATTATTTTATATAGTATTCAAGAAATAAAAAACCGTGTTATTTTTAAACAAAATGTCATTCTTATAATAACCAATCTGTAGTATTGTAAATTAATTTTAAGAAATAAACATATTTTATCGTTATATCGTGGAATCAACGATAAAGTAAGACTAATCGTTAATTGGAAGCTAATTGAAAATGTTCGTGCGTAATATAAAAATCATTTTTATACTTCTGCTTATGGTAAGATATTGTATTTTCGTTTGTATCCTTATGTTGCATATGTTGTCATATACAAATAATTGTCAGTTGAGTAATTAAGGAATAATCCTTTAAGAAACATAAGAACTCGTAGTGGCCTAGTGGTTAAGGCCCGCCTCTAATACATGAGGGCGCGGGTTCGAAACCTGGCAAGTACAAATGTGATTTTTCCGAATCATATGTACTTTCTAAGAGTATATACGCACCACTGACAGACGGTGAAGGAAAATATCGTGAGGAAACCTGGACTTATAATTTCCTATTAGGTATATGTTTTAGATAGCCAATTCGTCTTGAGCAAGCGTGGTGATTAATGCTCAAATCTTCTCCATGTGAGAAGATTGAAGAGGCATGAGCTCAGCAGTGAACTCTGATAGGCTGATGACGAATGAATGAATGATGAATAATTCCAGATCCAAAAAAGTAACCTTAAGATTATTTTAAATTTAAATGAAACTAATATTTTCGGATTTACTACACGATTTTTTATTTTAAATTTATCCTAAATAATAACAATCATAATGTTGAGAGTAACTGAATCTGTTAGTCACTGTGGCTTCATTCCTTTCTATAGCACTTTTATTGACTTGTCTAAAAGAGGGGAATCGGTTGCAGAAAAGAGCAGAAAATGCAAAAGCAGCTTTGTCTAATACCAAATATATTAGGGAGGGTATTTGTTTTGCCCTTCTAACGTTTTTTGGCAAGGGCTAAGAAATAGGTTCTTAAGGGTAACACGAATTGAAATATTTTTATACAACATTCATAGGCTTTTGATTAGTATTTATTTTTGAAATATCAAAAACTTAAGAGAGCGTTGTGTTTTCTAACAAAAAATATGTTTTATCTTTTAAGATATCCGTCGGAGTAAATAATGAAAACAGTAACAACAACGAAACAACTAAAAAAGGCACAACTATATATTCTATAGCTGATGTATTGCAAACACTGTTGAAACTAAACGAGGCGAGATACAACGCTTTCAAAAAACTTAATTCACTAAACAATATACATTATATGAGAACTTTCAGTGAGAAAGATAATGAAAATAATATTTGGGAATTTTTTAGGGAAATAGCGTCATTTTTCAAATTATCTTTTAAGGTAAGCAGATAAAAATTACGTACACATAACTTAGAACCAAATTTAAAGTAATACGTCATATTTACAATGAAATAATATTTTATATTTACAGCCAAATCTCGAAAAAGATGAAGAACCAAACGTACGTTATTACGATGTATATCACGACAGTAAATACATATTTACAATCCCAGTACCGAAGACAATCGACTTAAAGAAAGTTCATCTTAGCGTGAGCCCTTCATCTGATGAGAAAAATAATTACGTCAAAAAGAATACCAGTCTTAGATATTACGAGTGCAGGCGAGGTAATACAAGATGCAAATCAGCTTGTAGAGAAGCATTAATGATGGCTTGTATTATACTACCAGTATGCACATATGACTTTTACATGCAAATGATGCTGTCATGTAAATACGAATGTGAGGACAGATTCTATTAAAAAAATAAAATAAAATATTGTAGAATAAAAATAGACTGAATTTAATAATAATAAAACAAATCAATAAAATCTTTTTTTTATTGTCGTTTTTCGTTTCAATTTTAGAAGTATGCTAGCAACTTTATCGAGTTGTGTAATCGTTTTTATAGTAAGTATTTTATTTATATGTATCAATGAAAACAATGTTATAGTGTTTTATTATTAGATTTTAGAATTTACACATGTAGAACTCGAAATGTCCATCTTGAAGACTGGTGATTTAAATGTATTACAAGATATTATTAACTCTGTATACAAAGAAGATAAAGTACGGCGTTACGAAACTAAAATCTCATCGTCTAATTCAGAATCAAGTAAAGAATTTGAAACTACTACGAAAAAAGCGATTAAAAGTCGTTATTTAAAGAATGTATGTAAAAACATTTGTTATATTCGAAATTAAATAAAACTAAACAAACATACAAAAGAATTGATTGTATATTGAAATGTATTAATATTTCAGAACAAAAATATTCTTAGAATTCTACCCGGTAAGGACTTACGATTTAATAGTTCAGAATCTATAAGCTATGATTATAAAGATCAATCAGGAGATATGGATCACATTAAAACTGACGAAATCTATAGCACAGCTGAAAACGATACAGTCCTTTTAAAAAATAAAACTTATTTGTTCCTAAACGCCGCAGAAACGAAATGTTTACGAGCTTGTGAAGACGCCTATCAAAATGTCTGCCGTTCCGTCAATTGTCAAATATCAATGCGTCAGAAGTTTAAAATCAGTTGCAATATGGCTTGCGGAAGTAGATTTTAAATTTAAATTAATAAATCTATTGATCTTTTTATTTATGTCCCTTGAAACATAAATTTTATAACTTAGATTTCAATTACTTACAATCGTAAAATGTAAGTGAAATAATTATAAATAGGAACTGAAATGTACGGATGGATAGTGTTGCAGTTATTGCTATTATACACTGTAAGTAAATATTAAAAAATTGATTCTAAAACAAAAAAAAAATGTTTTTTTATTCTTAACAGATTAAAATTTAACGCCCAGATAGTATTTCTTTTTAATAAAATATCAATTTAGGAACTTGAAAACTCACAAGAAAAATTGTGAAGTAGTTTTTTTTATCCTTTTCAGAGATTATATTCGTCTAAAATTTATTTAAATCCCCTACATGTAGAAGATGTCTTTGGGTCAAATAACAATGAGGAAGTGATTGTAGTATCTATTAAAGTATGTTAAGAAAACTTTTTACATCAACTTATAATTTTTGATACAATTATAATTATAATAATTTATAGGATCCACTGAGAAGTAAGAATTTAAAAATAGAAGGTTTAGAACCGTCTAAATCTTTGGTAATAAAGAATTTAAAATCGGAGAAAAATGATCTCGCGATAGATGGGTTGAAATTAAATGATGAACAGAAAAATATTTTAAGAAAAAGATGGCAGAGCTCCTGTGACAGGAAGGCGTCGAAAGTTTGTATACAAGCTTGTAAAACCACAGCTAAATCTATATGCAGTTCATTTAAATGTAGGAAAAGTATGAAGAGGAGTTTTAAAAAGGAATGTAAAAGAAATTGCAAAGCACGATTTCTGTCGTCTAAAGCTTCTGATACTGAATAAAAAACATTCAATCAATTGATAGTTTTCATTCGTTCCTGTCAAAATATCTCTTCATTCATTCCTCGATATGACATCAATGTTATGTCATTTCTCAATCGTAGATTAAGATATATTAATAAAGAAATAAAACATTAAAATTTGTCTTTATTTATAATACATCAATAAAATTACAATTTGTATAATTGTGATAATAAAATGTTAATGATATACAACTATTGTAACATTATACAAAACAAAAAAAAACTATGATCACATACTACCAGTATAAGCTTATAATATTTAACATACATATTGATTGTAAAAACAGAAATCTCAATATATTCAATAATATTGCTTGGAAGACTCAGAAAAAACATAATCTGGCAGATTATGGAAAAATAACTTATTATTTCATAATATGGTAATACTTTTGGGACGGATATAATATTGTTAGTATATTTTAAATACGATATTATTTTTATAATTAATAAACGTTGTGACAGAAATCTAAAACTAAAAAGTATTTTTTAAACATCTTTCTTCACAACCTAAATACGTTAGTTTCATAAAAATAAGGCACATTAAGACACCGTTCAATAATTTATGTTTTTTTTTCTGGCACGTTTTTTTTAAGTTCATCTAAAACTAGACGCCAGTCTAAATCGTTATATTTTTAAAAATAATTTATAATCTGCCACCGCTTGGACTTTTAGAACTAGATTTTATGGAAGTTATAGATATGTTAGAAGAACTGCTACTCAAATTTTGGGACGACCGTGGTATGGAGAAACTTTTTTCGGTCAAATTCTCCTGGCTCAGTGATTTCTGCGTACCAAAAACCGGTATTTTCGATGATACGAAACCCGTCGGTTTTTTATCTTTAACCGGTATGCTGCTCGGTTTTGCGGATATCACCGGTTTTTGGGGCTGTACGACGTCACTAGGCGATCTTAATTGCATTTGATCTAGCTGTGACAGACGTCTGTTTTCTAGATCTGTGCTAGTGACTATAGTTCCTTTGGGAGATTCGTATGTAGCTGTTCTGAATTTTATGTGACTGTTTCTTGGTAGATCAAAGTCTGAATGCCGTTTCTTTGAATCATTTTGGTTATTTCGTTTCTTGATTTCAGCGAGATGTTTTGCTGAGTGATGTCTTTCGTTTGTTATGAAGTCGTTCAACATTTCTATGTCCAATTCGTATGATAACAGCGGTTCTTCGTACATCTTCGCTGTATTTCTTTGTGTGTTCGTTATTTTGTATTCAGTTTTGTTCTCTTGTTTATCTATTTTTGGTCGTACTTGTATTTCTGTTATGTGATCTCTCTGCGTCTTTTCAGTTGCTTGTGTGGTGCCGATGCATTTAGTTTCGCTTATAATAGTTGAAGGATTTATGGAGTATCTAGTTTTTGTAACTTCCATTGCGTCTTTGTTCGTATCTGTTTTATCATCTAAGTCGTGAAAAACTCTGATTCCCATTCTAGATAATTCCTCTGTAGATTTCTGTGCCATAAAGTTTGGGTCGTTTTGTAGTTTTTCCATCAATGCTCTAGTTTGTTCTTCATCCATATTGGATGTGTTCAATAAAATTGTTTCAGTTCTTGTATAAGACGGCTCGGTTGAAGTGAAATGTATGTTTGGATTCTTTCTCTTTATTTCTTCTAGAACATTCCTATCGATATCTTTGACGTTTCCTTCTTCTAATTCCATTTCGTTGATATCAGATCCTCTCATCATTCCGAAGCTAATCTGTTCGACCTGTAGCGGCGCCTCGATTTTACTTGTTATGTATTGAGTTGTAATTTTCTCAACGTTCTGTGTAACAACTTTGTTTCCGTATTCGTCTTCGCTCACATTAACCGTGACCGTCTTTTGTATTGGTTCCTGTGTCATTGTTAGTGAAACATTAGCGGGTTCCATGTATAAAGTCCTGGTTTGTTTTTCTTCTATTTTGTTTTTTGTTCCTTCAACCAAATCTGGTATTAAACGATTTTCACCGATTTCTATAGATTTGGTATATGAACTACGTTTCTCTGACAAATCATCGCCGGTTTTTATAGTGACTATATTTTCTTGATCCACATTCTTAGATTCAGACCAATCTCTGTTAATTTGTTGTTGTTTGTTAATTTTCAAACTGTTATTATTTGAACCGACCCTTATATTGCTTATGTATTCATCATAATCTCTCACTTTTGATGTCGGTGAAGTTTTTAAATCGAAGTTTACTATATCAGGTTGGTGTAGAGATGATTTGAATGAGTCAGTCAGTGAAGGAGTCTCCTTGCTTGTGGTCGCTTCGTATTTGTTTGAAGATTGAGTTTGGTCGATATTAACATTAAATATTGGATTTTTGGCGAGAAGTTTCTTCATCATTTCAGATTTAGGCCGTTCCAAGCTGTTCACGTATGAACTACGCGACACTTTCATATCATCAGGAATGTTTGTATCGTAACTCATAGTTATTTTTTCTTCGTATTTTATCGGAGATGTTGTAGTTTTTGTTATACTTTGTTCTTGGCTGTTATCCAATGTACTGGAACTGCTATCGGATGTGGATTTAGCGAATTCTGATACGAGTTTTAAATGAACTTTTAAGTTTTCATCCATGATTCTTCGCGCTAAATGATCAGATGTTTCGTGTTCTTCTTGAGTTTTTTGTGTGCTAGATTGTGTCTTGCCATAAATAGCCTCATGGGATTCATATCTTGTTGACTCCATAGAGCTGTTTGATCCTTTGACGATAGCGTCTTCTAAGTTACCGAATTCAGATGCTTTTTTCAGCCGATTCCTCTGGAATGTATCTAAACCTTCTATAGCCGATGTCTTAGCTATATTCAAACTCAATCTCGGTTCTTTGTGCTTAATAACAATTCCTTTATCAGGATCTATCATTTCAGGTAGAATGTCTTCGTTGCCGGAATCAAAGAACGTAGATTCTACAACCGACATGGCCTTTCTTTTCTTTGGTGATAAGGTATCTTGTATGTCACCATCTTCTACTGATATATCCAAACTTTGAGCTCTCTCCAAAGTACCGCTTGCCGGTTTGTTTATTTTCGCTTTTAATTCGAAACGCGATAAATCACCAAGAGATGTCGCTTTTCTTTCATTATCTTCTAATGGCGATGCATCAGATTCTGATCTTTCAGTTTCGTTTAACGGAGAACTATGTATGGTTATATCGCTGTTATTAAGTTCTATAGTAGTTGAACCTCTGTCGCTTTTATCGCTTTGGTTCAAAGACATAACAGAATGGACGTCTTGATTCGATGATAGATTAGATTTGGAATCTTCGAAGAAATTGTTCAATGAATCGCTCTCTCGTTTGAAAGGTTTGACGATATCATCTATATCTTCTTGCGAGAAGTTAATAGATTCGTCCAATCTAGATTTGGTTTTGTTTACTTTAGGAGTTGATGTGTTGTATGTTGTTTTAGTAGAAGTTACTGTGTCGTGTAGTAGACTTGAGTGATGCTTTTCGTTGTTCAAAAAGTCATGTAAGTTCTTTATGTCATCTAGAATACTGTCTTTTTTTTCCGGTTCAGGAGGAGAGGGTGCTTTTCCTTTGGATTTTTTCGTAGGTTTTGGTGCTTCGTCCTTTTTCGGTTCTTTATCTTGTATTAAATCCGCTGAACTTTTTCTATTGCTTCTAGCTGCTTTGGCCGCGTCGAACATATGTTGAGGTAATTCTTGTGGTATGCCATTCTCATCTCTTTTAATGCCGCTTGAGTTTAAATCAGTTCTACTGAATGATATAGTTTCTGATGTTTTTGATATATCATGACTGGTTTCGATTTCGATTTTAGATCTAGCGTTAGGTATCGGCGGCGCTAATTTCTCTCGTCTTTTAGCGACAACCGGTTTCTTTTGATCCGTTTCGTTCTCATGTTTTATATGTACGGGCGCTTGTCTTTGTGGTTCAGGTTTATCTGGTTCATCAATGGCCTTTTCGATAGAAACTGCTCCGTTTTCAACATTCTTCTTTAATACTCCATCGTCAGGAACATTTGGTGGTAGGACTCTTATACCGAATTTCATTCCTCTTTTTGGGTCGTATTCTTTCTTCTGTACCTCCGCTTGTTCTATATGCGAGTTATTGTCCGGTACTATTATTTGTACGTCTTCTGATGATAGTCTATTTTTACTTCTCTCAGGTTTCGATGTTGGCGCATCTGAATGTCTTGTTTTGTTTGCGAGTTTCAAATTCTTTTCGTTTTCTCTCTCCAATGTGTTTGGTGCATCTTTTCTTTCCTTTTTATTTCTTTCTATAGTCGTTATCTTTTCAGTTATAATCTTTTTTATTCCTGATTTCGAGTGCTTCGTTTCGAGAGTTGAATTGTTTGAATTCGATACGTTCGGTGATTTCGGTGGTTGTAGAAGTTTGCCCGCTTTTTCCAGCTGAAATAGAGAAACACATTTCTAAATATACTATAACTATATAAGCATGCTAATATACTATAACTCAATAGTATTTTATACCAAATTTAGTACTAAATAATACATTATTGAGTATAACTAACTACGAAGACGTTTTTGAAGAATATAGAAATAGGAAGTGATTGTAAAATTGTATTGAAAGAAGCTTAGGGCTTATAGCATATGTATTAAAATTATAAATTAAATAACTACATTTTCGTTACTCAATCAAGTGAATGTATGGAGTGTATTATAGCTAAATAATTTAATATTAACTTTGAACATGATATAGTTGAATTATTATTGTCTATAATCGATCTGACTATTGTCTACCTCTTAAGACTTTCATCAAACGTTATTAAAACAATGGCCATACATTCCTTAACGTACGAGACATTGTATTCATAACACGTTTGACTAACATAACAACATTCCATCAGAGCATACACATACTTATTATGTTATGTATAGATATCATAATTGCTTGTATTTTTTTTGTAATAATTTTTATTATGACACAGCTATGACTAAGATTGAGCTGTGATTGCTTGGCGTGTTTTAGCTGTGAGGGGTCAATTTAATTGGTTGTGTATTATCTGTTTGATAAGTATAGTTGGGTATTATTGTATCTGAATTATCGAGTTTCGTGAGAGGTTTCTTGATGAATGAAGGGATGGTATGATTGAATGTTGAAATACATGGTTTATTATAGACAGATAGATAGTTATATGTATATATAGATACAACTATAGATTATAATTAATCTTAAAAGTTTTTCTTTAAGAGACTTCTTAGACAAATATTATTGCGATTTATTAAATTAATATAAATTCATTAAAGTTTTACAAAATAATTATTTCTATAACCACTACGTGTTCAGTTATGTGTTTTATTTAAGAAAACTTTGTCGGAATATATAAAAAATAGGCTACTAATATTATTATTATTATTGAAGAATTGTTTATATTACGTACGATCACGTTACTTATACTTACTAGATTTTAGTGACAATTATTCAAAAAAGCTTATCTTAATAATGATACTCAAGTCTTTCAATCCGTGTGGTTTGCATATGAATACTTTATAAGAGTAACTTTGTTAATAATACATCGTTTGACTAGAAACGGAGATTTTTATTTCTCACATTCTTTTAAAATTATCGTGAAATATTTATATATGTGTAAGTTTGCATCTGTGAGTGTAAATGAACCTAAAATATTTGGATTACTACCCGTTATTTTATTAATTTAAAACTACGTACTCCTGACGTTGCAGCAACAGTGATCACGGACAGACGAGATGTTATCTCATCTCGTAATACGTAAATAATAAATACATAGTAATCCGAAAATATTAGTTTCATTTAAATGAATACTCTCGAGTCTTATAACTCATTGTGTGTATGTGTGCTTGTGTCTCTGTGTTTGTGTGTATGTATTGGCGTCTATTTGTGTGTATGTGTGTGTGTCTCTGGGTTTTTTTCATGTGTTTGTGTGTGTATGTATTCGCGTCTGTTTGTATGTGTGTATATGTGTGTATGTTTATGTGCGTGTCTCTGTGTTTGTGTGTGTATGTGTGCGTGTCTCTGTGTTTGTTCATGTATATGTGTGTATGTCTTCGCGTCTGTTTGTGTGTGTATGTATGTATGTATGTGTTTATATCTCACCGTGCTCACATCTCCCGTGGAGCCAGCCTTCATCAGCGGATGGTAGACCGGCCAGCCTTCCCCACTGACCCTGTATCCCTCCATCACCTCCAATTCCACAGGGTATGGAGAAGCGAGTGATAGTATTGAGACAGCATCCTCTAGCGGCGTGCCAGTGAACTCAATTTTGATGCTTTTGATCTTATCACCTGGAATTCGAGATTATGAACCTTTTAAAACCGTATTTGTAATATTATTATGAATATTTTTTTATTTAATATGTATTAATTATACATATAAATTACATATACATAAGAAATAACTATGACGTACGGATTCATCACCATCATCAGCCTATCAGAGCCCACTGCTGAGCAAAGGCCTCTTTCTCACATGGAGAAGGTTTGAGCATTAATCACCACGCTTGTAAGACGGGTTGGTATATATATGATAATAATAGAGTTTCTACATATTAAAATTTCTAATTAAATATTGAAAACAATATTCTCAAATATGGTGTTTTATTTCTGTGAAAATATGAATTTCTTTTATAAGTCGAAATTATTGAAGGGCGTTAATATCGCAGTGACATTTAATGACATTGTAAATGAATTAACCTAGTTATAAAAGTTCAGGGGACATTGTTATAAAGGCGATACGGTTTATTAATAGTGGTATTTTTCAATAAAAATAATATTATTTTACTTGGTATTTTTTATAATATAGATTGGGTTAGGAGAAAGACTGTTGTATGTTTGTAAATTATGCTTTGAAGAAATATATCATATAAAAGTATTTATAAGTACTTTTCTATGAGCAAATAATATATTTAGCATTTAAGTCTATATAGTCAAAGGATTTATCCTTCTTCGCTCGAATATTTTGTTGGATTTAATCTTCAAATTATTAAAAATTTTATAATAATAATACAATTTTGTACATTCATAGTTAAGTAATTAAATATATTTATTATTTAAACAAATTTCTTTTTTATAGATCCAATTATATATAATTTTAAATGACCATTTAAAGGATAAATTCTGCGTTTTAAAATCACAATATTTAATAAATTTAATAATGAAACAAAAAATGTTTTAGAATATTTTTCCTTATAAACTGGAAATTGAAACTGAATTAAATATTAGGGGTTTTCCATTGATATATAATTTATCATTACACTATAAAGTAGCTAAGTTATGAATATAGCCAGACGAAAAGTCTCATCATTCCATGTATTTACAGTATGTGTGTCGGATCCATCGTTGTAGTGAGAGGAGCTTCAACAGTGACTGTGACTTGTGACCCAGGTGTAGGTTTAAGGGACCTTATCTAACGCGTTATACGCTCACCTCCACTGTACAAGCTCCTCTCTCTACCAAATTTGAAAAGAACCTACTAGGGCTGTCTTCGAAGTACGTTTCAAGAATGAATTAATGTTAGTTCTGGACAGACCCAAGTCTTTTAGTAGGTTGTAGAAATTTAGCTGTTATAACTCTCGGGACTTGCGACCCAGGTGTAAATTAAATGCCCTTAACTATTTCAATACTAAAATTTCAATTGAAATCAACGAGCAGGGGAATATTCTAGCATTCTAACTGCTGCAAATTAGCAGCACAAATAGTGCTGTACTTACCAGGTTGCAGCATAGCGGCAGCAGCTGGACCATTTCTCATCACAGAATGAATACAAACGCCATCTCTCGCCCCGCCTCCACAAGTTAAACCCAAGCCGGTAAAATCACGGGCCCACAGCTTAACACGACGTATCTTGGTTAACTGGTGAAACAAAATAATGTATTAAAACAAGAAGTATGAATTGGTGAAGAATATTGTGATCTAATCACTTTATATTAAACTAGCTTTCCGCCGGAACTTCGCCCGCGTGTAGTTCGGTTATATCGCGTTTCCAAAAACCTATCAAAAGTCTGGGATAAAAACTATCCTATGTTCTTTCTCGAGGTCAACTCTGTCTGTACCAAATTTTATTAAAATCAGTTCAGTGGTTTAGGCGTGAAAGTTAAACAAACAGACAGAGTTACTTTCGCATTTATAATATTAGTAAGGATTTTACTTCCTAAATCAGTTCAATAAGCTTAAACACTTAACAGTTTTTATAAAAATATCTTCGCAAGCCATAGTATTTATATTTATAACGTAGTTTATTGAAGATATAATTGGCAAAGAATCCTATATAGGGAAAAATGATTTCAAACAAGCTAGCATCGTCAAACCTTAAATAGACTTGTAATTATGAATTAATACTAGAAACAAATCTAGAAATTTCTCTCGAAATATCTTGACTAAATTTCTAAGTCTATAAAGAACCTTATTATTTTAAATTAACGACTTATCAATATATAAAACATGTAATAATGATACAGTATTAAATTTATTATTTACTACCTGTTACTAAATATACAAATGTGTTGGAAAAATCTTTTAAGCGCCACATGCCTAGCCTCTTAATCGCGAATGATAACGCTTAATTTTGGGATATGGATAAAGTAGTCTAAGTTATTCCTTATAACATCAGCTACCTGCCAGGAAAGTCCCGTCAAAATCGGTCCAGCCATTTAATAGATTAGCCGGAACATACATACAGACAAATAATATTTGTAAAAATATAATTTTGGTGTATGTACATATATATTCATATTTATTAAAAAAGGTTTATTTCAATATTACGAACAGACATCACAATTTTATATATACATATGTATAGATGTAGGAATATGTATATATGTATATACCTATATGTTGGAATGTGTGGACCATAAAGTGTATGTATTATTTAAAATTAATAGTACATATTATATAAAACGTATAATTTATGTACGTATTCTAATATATAACATAGTATATAATATATATATTTAAGGCAGATCCTGGCTAAAACTGGGAAATTGCCAGGAAGAAGATAGTATATTTGAATAAAAATAACGATGATTTAACAATTATTTCACACCATTTTTGCTGTATGTAGGTCCTAATTATGAGATTAATTGATAAATCCTAACTTACAAACTGTAAGTTTAATCGTTTATTCAAATAAAAATAAAAATAACGATTTACGTTATACATAGTTTACAACCAACTAATACTTAGGTTAAAATAGTATGTACTGTTTATATTATTAATAGTTCTTTTATATTAGTTAAGGAAGTGAGTTATATGAGTTACAGAAGTTTCTTATCTTTAAATCTTTGTATATATAAACTAGAAACGCAATTACTATGAGATCATCGCCGTGTGAACTCATCCTAACAAATTAAATTAATACAAATTATATTATTATCATTACAATGAACATTTAATTAAAATTTTATTATCAGTCCTATTTGGGTTATAAATCGAATTAATGAAAATGACATAATGTTCTTTTAATTGAGGTAAAATAGGTTGACCTAAATGACAAATTTGATTTGATTTTAAACTATTAATATGATTTATCAATTAAAAATATATTGACATATTTATTTTATTGAAATAATAATAAAATAGTAATTACGTGTAACACTTATGAGTTATGATGATTGTTTTGTCAAAAGAACTAAATATTATGTACTTTTTAATTATTTTTTTCCGCCTTTTCACAATTTTTTGTAACCTTAAATTAGGTTATTATTTAACTTTCTGAAACATATGTTTCTTACAATATAATTATAAGCAATACATAGTAAACTTGATTATTATTTAATTATTCCCAAAGAGGGTTGATGTCATGCAGGCGGCCGGTCAAAAAAACAATTAGCCAAAACTATTCACAACATGTAAGGCAGACCCTGGCTAAAGCTCGGAAATTGCCAGGAAGAAGAAGAAGACATAGTATAAGAGAAATATAAATAAAATACGTATATATTATAGTTGTATATAGCAATTTATATCCGTTAAACCTAAACAAAAAGCTAAACGCATTCCGATGCAATGCATTGCGAATGGATTCAGGATGCCTAGGAATCCGACGCAAGATGAATTTGTAATGTATCTCTATAGAACATATCTGATTTGATGGGCTCTGAACTAAACTGATTTATCAAACGCTTTGATATTGATTTTGCGATATAGTTTAGTATATACTACTTACTATACAATTTTATGTATATATTTATGTACGTATATGTATATAATAGTCAGTGGTGGCCTAGTGGTTAAAAGGCCCGCCTCTCAAGCACGAGGGCGCTGGTTCGATCCTGGCCCGGGCTAGTACCAATGTGATTTTTCCGAGTCATATGTACTTTATAAGAGTATTTAGACATCACTGATTAATGCGTTCCCAAAGAGGGTTGATGTCATGCAGGCGGCCGGTCGTAAAAACAAGTAGCCATAACTATTTACAACATGTAAGGCAGACCCTGGCTAAAGCTGGGAAATTGCCAGATAGAAGAAGATATGTATGAAAATTTAAAATTATTTTAGTAATTTTTAACGACGCCAACTTGTACTCAGTACCGCTAAGTACTAACATTTCTATTTTTAGTGTTTAAGTGTTGTCAACTCAGTTTTATATTATGATAGTTGATAAAACAAATATTATTTTTACACTTTAAAGAAAGTGTGATTTATATTTTGCTTCTACATAATACTTATGTATTTACTAAATTTTAAAATAAACTACTCATAAAGAAAATATGATTTTTATAGTAATTAACTAATATATTTTAAAGATATCGAAGTATAGTACATTACATTTTACTTCGTATTGCGACATGGGATAGACGGACGAAAAATATGACGCGATGTTATAAGTTTTACTTAAAAATATATAGTTTATACATTATATATCTATGTAAAAATAATCGTCCTTTAATCTTGGTTCTAAGTCACTTGTAAGAATTAAGATTCTCTGTAAGATATACAGGGTGACTGGTGAATTACTATCAATATTTATGTTATATTAATTTTTATTTTGTCATATATGATCGTCAAATATCACGTCCTCAAGTATCGATAGTAATTCACCAGTCACCCTGTATAATCTCCTATAATATATTTATTGATTAATATAATTTAATAATCGAAATTCTTTGACTTGTAATTTTTTGTATATCTTTAAACAACGTTTATACATCATAGTCTATCTATATAAGATTGGTCAGTGGATTTAGTTACGAAGATTTAAGTTACCAATATGTAATACCCTATTAACTGTATATAAGAAAAGTATAAAAATTACCTGTAGATGGGAATCATCTTTGCTAAACTCAGGTTTGTTATTGAAGTCTGATTTAATTTGGGAGGTCATGTTTCCTCCGAGTGGTAGAGTTGGCGCTTCATGCTGCCAGCCTTCCTTGAAGCCAGGGTTGTCAAACGCGAATTCATCTTTCACAGATTCAGGGTCTTTGGACAGGATTATATGCTTCCCTGTTGGCAAAAACATACTTTATTCATAAAAAACATATTAATTCTCATTTATAAATAGATTTTACAATGTAATTACTACATATAGCGAAGGTGCGACCAAATGGCGTTTACAGCCTTGGGAGCGTGTGAATGGGGCCTTATTTTCACTAAGTGAAAACTAGGCCTTAAGTAACGTGTAGATGCTGCAAGACATACGTAGTTTTCACATGTAGTTACTTTTGTATATATGTATATATATCGGTTCTATCAGCTTTAATAACGGATGCATGAAAAATAACTTGAGCATGTCATCAATTATTATTAAAACTCATTAGTATTACATTATTGTTAAAAGTAAAACGAAATCAAAGATTGTTTAAACGGAGAATAGAACTATGTTTGAATCTTGGTATAAATATGACGTCTGGACTCACGACGGCAGAGTTCAGTTAGTGTGGACCATTGAATAATGTGATTATGAAGAACCTTCGAGAAATACAGGAACATTAAGAACAATTGAAGTTTCATTTTAAAATATCATGGAAAGTACTAAAAGAAGTGACATTAATTACGTCAGCGGGGCTGGCGTCTCTCTCTTTAAAAACAACGAATTTCTAATAAATCCGATATTATACATATATGTACGGATTTTCTTTGAGTGATGCTTGCATTGATACTTAATAGGCTTTTTAGATACATAGCTATAGAATTTTGGATGAATGGATTTTCACATAAACTACACGAAGATAATAAAATTTTAATTTCATTTTCGTCTGCCGAAAATATTAGTTCTATTAAAATACAGGTAATTAGTATGGAATGAATATTTATCGTACAGTAAGTTTAAAATGCATAATGAAATTCGTTTATAAGTACCAAGATTCATCTTCCATTTCCGAGATCGTGTTTATATAACATAAGAAAGTGTATATCTGTTATGTTGTTACACAATCACTCGAAAACCGCTAATCATTTAGTTGTTCGTCAAACATATCCGTAGCATGTTTTTAGCAATAAATTGATATTTTTATTGTCTTTTAGACTTGATTTACACCGTTTTAAAACAAAGCCCGTAATAATAATAAAAGTTGTTGAAATAAAATTTATACCGTATATTCTTTGATAAATTTCTCTATTTTTATTTCAACTAGCAAAATTAATTTGGACATCATACAATACATTGTTGATTGCATTGTAATATAGAAAAATTTATTACATAACTAGCTGAACCGGCAGACTTCGTACTGCTTCAATCAAGAAATAAATTATGTCTTATTTATTTTTTGGTGTTTACCTTTAAGATATAAATCTCCGTGTTCTGAAGTGCGACAAAATGATTGACATATTAGTTAGTTGTCAAATCTAATGTCAAAAAACCGTTTGTATGGGAAATAAAAAAGCGCTATTTTAGGGTTTTCCTGGAAATTAATAAAAAAATTTCAGCTTTTAAACCTTCCCTGAACCTCCACGAACATTTCAAGACTAACATAAGATAAATCCGTTCAGCCGTTCTCGAGTTTTAGTGAGACCAAGGAACAGCAATTCATTTTTATATAAATAGAAGTTGTAAATTTTTAATAGACAAATACCTATAGAAATAGAAAGAATATAGAAATAGAAAAAGTAATTTAAACTGTTTAAAATCTTGTCACATTAGATGTAACGGTAAAATGTGATATATGGCTGATGTGGGCGTTTAAATTATAGACACTGAATTATATCAAAACAACTCAATCTCCCACTCATTCTATATAAGAGAAGCACGATCATGTGACAGTCTTACATAAATCTTTATATATATAATTCTTCTGTGAGTGTGTATGTCACTGAACTTCTCTAAAACGACTGGACCGATTTTTATTAATTTTAATTTTTTTTAATTTTGTGTGTGTTCAAGGGGATCTGGGAACGGTTTAGATTCGAAATTTTGTCCGCTGGATAATGTTTTTTCAATTAATTTTTAATTTATTAGTAAGTGGTCGTTGATACAAACGTTTTTTTTTGACATTAGACTTGACAACTAACTAATAGGTATGTCAATCATTCTGTCGCACTTCAAAACACGGAGATTTATGGCTTTAATAGGTAAACTCCTAAAATATAAATAAAAAAACGTAACAGATATTTCTTGATTATATGGCGATACGAAGTTCGCCGGGTCTTCTAGTATACATATATACAGGGTGACTGGTGAATTACTATCGATATTTGAGGACGTGATATTTGACGATCATATATGACAAAATAAAAATTAATATAACATAAATATTAATAAACTTCTAAGTAAAGTTAACCAAAAGTTATGTAATTAATTACGCATCGTATGAATACCCTACAGATCAGGTATACACACACACACACACACACTCGCGCGCGGCGGCGTGGTGTTGTATCAGCACGCCGCCGCACGCGTCCACACTTTGAACACTTGGAACGTGTACACACTTTATTTATTTATACGGAAATTTGGTCAAAAATTAAGTACCTATTTTTTTTACATAATTCGAATGAGAATCATGTACCGAGTATGCTCCTTAAATATTGATAGTAATTCACCAGTCACCCTGTATATTTATATAAATAGTTTTGATTTGATAATTGTTTGGTTTTGAACATTCATACTAACTGATAATAAGTTGAAACAAAATCGTTAGTGATAGTCGCATTACCTAAAAGAGCCTACAATATATTGAATTTGAAGGCGTTGGAGTTATAAGCGGAAATTATATTTTTATTATGTTAATTACATATACTACTATAAATTTAAGGTTGTTATTTTATTATTTAGCAAAAATTATAAAGATTCATTTTTTTAAATAGTTTTTTCTATTATACGAAACAATGGTGAATATTCTTTAGATAAGTATCTTAATTTAAATGAATTAAAAAAAAAATACAAAACTTAATTCTAGCTTCTGGTGATTTTTGAGAGTCAAAGACACTTCTTGTTGAAGAATTTATCAAGATAAAATCTTTTATATAAATATAAATAGTAAATACCTATTATATAAATGTTCTTTGAATCACCTAAAAGTCATAAAAATAATCTCATATAAATTATTATTATGTCCTCATAATATAAATAATATTTCAAAGTATTAAATTTTTAATCTATATTAATATGTATATAATTTCTAAACGAAGGTCAAAACGTTAGATTGTATTGGCAGCTGTCAAAAATTACAATTGTTGCGTAATTGTCAATAGTACATATAATAAAATAAGATTTGTTATGACAATAATGATATCTAAGTTTCGCGAGTATTCATTTAAATGAAACTTTTATGCCAAAGACCGTGCAAAGTGGAGGCGTTTATGTAGGAAGGCAGACCCTGGCTAAAGCTGGGAAATTGCCAGGAAGAAGAAGAAACTAATATTTTCGAAATACTACGCGTATTTTATTACTTTCACTACATACTTAAGACGTTTCGGTACTTTGCAGCAGTCACGGGCAGACGAGATGAAAATGACACACAATACAATATATTTGTCATGAAAATTTGAAATATTTTAATATTTAAAGCATAATATGTTATTCTAAAAGTAATATATATTAAAATAAAATGATTTAAATTTTATTTCATTTAAAAATCATTTTAAATAGTCCATATATTAAGTACGATTGAACATTTCGTTTCCAGAATAATGAAATATCCTGTTTAGATGATTAGAAACGTACCTCCTTCCTAAGTTGGTAATAATGATAACAATTTATTTACTAACATTACATAATATAAATATATATAAATGTATATAAATAAATAAATTAATTTTACCCCTAATATAATTATCACACGCTTTCATCTTATGTATAAAATTCTCGTGTCGCGGTGTTAGACAGAGAACTCCTTTGAAACTGCTGGACCGATTTTGGATGAAATTTTGTGAATATATTGATTATGTCTGAGATACGGTCAACATCTATTTGTCATACCAATTAATAATAATGGTTGTTCACCCTTAATTTATTTATTTTTATTTTCAGATAAAATTTAAATTTTTTATAATGTAGCATAAAAATACATACAACTCAAAATTTTTACTTTTTTATCACCAAACCCTACTTTTTTTATGGCAAAACGTTTGCCGGGTCAGCTAGTATATAAATAATTTTCTTCTACCATTAATATAGTTATCTCACGTTTTCATACTAAATATTAAGATTGAGTTACATATTAAACAATCTGAATTGCGTTGCAATTTACAAACACAAAATGCAATACGTAATTGCATACTTGTGAACTTTCTCGTCTGTATACTTACGACAAACTTACTCAACTTTCAATGTTTGAACTTTTTATTAACAATAAATTATATTCTACCTTAAAATAAAAAGATATTTATCTCAATATCAGATTATATACAGTCCTTTTTTTTAATTGAAAGGTCACAAGAGCATTTTTATCTTCTCTTAGAATACGGTCAATATATCCAAAAAATTATACATAAATTTTAGATGGCTCCTGGATTTAGTTTTGGAATAATAAGTTGACTTATTATAGTCTTAAATTCAGTAATATATATTCTCAAAGTGTTGATATCAGGCGGCCGGTCGTAAAAAATAAGCCAAAACTATTCACATGTAAGGCAGACCCTGGCCAAAGCTGGGATATTGCCAGGTAGAAGATATATACATATATATGTATTTAACTATTAATCCCGGCCAAGGTTACATCTTACTTAACTGTGCGACCTCGAAGCTATGTTACTGAGTTATATTTCTCGTATTAAATTACCTTTCAACTTTGGTTCAAAACTGATTATAGTTTTGATGGCTAGTTCATATTTAATTGAAATCATTAAAACCTTTTAAATTGTTAAAAGAATATATTCAAAATAACGCCTAGTGACAAACTTTCGTCATATAAATGCTGGAATTGTGATAATTTTAAATTCTATAGAGTTAATGATGCAGCTCAATTGAAATATAATATATTACTTTTGGTCATGCTAGTTTTTTGTACAGGCTAGCATCTACTCTTTACTTTTTATCTGTCAAATGTCAATGTCATTTTGACAGG